TTATTCAAAGGCAGAATCACAGAGAGGGCTGGAAAGAGACAGAGAGAGAGAGAGATCTTCCCTCTGCTGTTTAATCCCCTGGTGGCTGCAACAGTCCCCACAGGAGGTTGCCCAAGCGTGGGGGCCCTCTTCTGCTGCTTATCCCAGGCCCACCAGCAGGGAACCGGACTGGAAATGGAAATGGAGCAACTTGAATTCCAATTGGTGCCCACACGGGATGCCGGTATTAAAGCCGGCTGCTTGACCCACTCTGCCACAACGTCAGTCCCCAAACGGAATGTTTGAAAGCATCGAATTCGGTAGCAGTCAATACACTCCCAATATTGTGCCACCGTAACTAATGTGTCATTCCAGAACATTTTCCCTTTTTTTTTTTTTATTTGAAGGCAGAGACGGAGCTGGCGCCATGGCATAGTGTGTTAAGCCTCTGCCTGTGATGCTGGCATCCCATATGGGCACTGGTTCAAGTCCTGGCTGTTTTGCTTCCGATCCAGCTCCCTGTTGATGGTCTTGGGAGAGCTGCAAAGGTTAGCCCAAGTGCTTGGGTTATTCAAATATCTGGAAGAAAACTCCTGGCTCGATGAGCTCAGCTCTGGTTGTATTGTATCCAGCCTGAGCCTCTCCCCAAGAAGTGCAGCCCAGACAACCCTGCAAAGCAGCAAGGCTGAAAAGGTGGCAGGTGAACAGGCCAACTGGCTGGCATTGGCTCTCCCGTCCTAAAGAGAGTGACCCTTGGGTGAGGGTTAGATGGGTTTTTGCAGAATGGGAGGCAGCCACGGAACAATGCGGGCAGCAAGACCTACAATATTAGTTCCTGAAGCCGAGGGTTACTGCCAGGACATATCGCATCTTATGTTTTGGCCCCAAGAGCAGAAAGCTGGTAAAGCATCATTAAGAGCAGGTTAGGGCCCGGCATGATAGCGTAGCGGTTAAAGTCCTCGCCTTGAACGCGCTGGCATCCCATATGGGCGCTGGTTCTAATCCCAGCTGCTCCACTTCCCATCCAGCTCCCTGCTTGTGGCCTGGGAAAGCAGTGGAGGACGGCCCAAAGCCTTGGGACCCTGCACCTACATGTGGGAGACCTGGAAGAGGCTCCTGGCTCAGGATCAGCACAGCACCGGCCGTTGCGCTCACTTGGGAGGTAAATCATCGGACGGAAGATCTTCCTCTCTGTCTCTCCTCCTCTCTGAGTATCTGACTTTCCAATAAAAAGAAATAAACCTTAAAAAAGAGAGAGAGAGCAGGTTAGCAAACTTAACGAAGACCTGAACCGAAGTGACTCCTTTTTGCGACTGGATTCCAAAGCCGCTGCAACCTTTTGGGGACTGACCCAGTCAAGGAAGACCTCTGTATCTCCTCGCTGGAACTGTGCCTTTGAAATAAATAAATCAAACCACATATACGTACATGTATATATATGCATATGTACGTATATATCTAAATCTGATTGGTCCTTACTGTGGCGTAGGCAAATCCTGAGGACACGGCGAGGGAGAAGCCACGGAAAGAGGTTTCCCACGGGTCACCCACGTGGGTGGCAGAGGTCCAAGGACTTGAACCATCATCCCCTGGTGCTTCCTAGGTAGCCGGAAAATGGACCCGGGCAGCCAGCCAGTAAGCTCAGCTGCCCTGGAAGTTGCGCGCACCCTCACGTCTCTGCTCTCCTACGCAGGCGACACTGTCGGGAAATGGGGCTCCCTTGTGGCTCATATCGTGCCTTCTGAGACCACAGCTGTGACTCACACAGCCCAAGCCCGGCTCTGCGTAAATCCTTCTGTGAACGCAGAGGGGTCCTTCACGCCCCCTCTTTCTCAGCGATGGTTTCCTCTGGCAAACGCGTAACAATGGTCCAGGGTACATCCTCACCCAGACCTGTGACTGGCTTCAGTGAACGGAATCCCTGCGCAACGACACAGGCGCCCGGGGAACTGTCCCTCCAGCGGCTGCTGGTTGCAAACGGTTCCTCTCCTGTTCTCCCATCCTTCGGGGGCTCCTGGCTTAGGGGAGGGAAAGAAAAGAAAATAATAATAGTGGACCCGGCGCACGAGTCTAGCGGCCAAATCCTTGCCTTGGACCCACCGGGATCACATTTGGGCGCTGGTTCTAATCCCGGCAGCCCCGCTTCCTATCCAGCTCCCTGCCTGTGGCCTGGGAAAGCAGTGGAGGACGGCCCAAAGCCTTGGGACCCTGCACCTGCGAGGGAGACCCAGAAGAAGCTCCTGGCTCTGGATTGGCTCAATTCCGGCCATTGCAGCCGCGTGGGCAGTGAACTACAGGATGATGAAAGCTCTTCCTCTCTGTCTCTCCTCCTCTCTGTATATCTGACTTTGCAATAAAAATACATAAATCTGAAGAAGAAAAAAGAGAGAGATTCATTTATGCATTTGAAAGGGAGAGTGACAGAGAGTTAGAGAGAGTGAGATATACCATTCGTTGGTTCACTCTGCAAACAAACGCAAGAGCCAGGGCAGGGTGAGGCGAGACCAGGAGCAAAGCGGGGGGTCAGGGTTGGCCAGTTGCTGTGGCTTCCCAGGCGCTTTAAGAGCAAGCTGAATCAGAAATGCAGCAGTGGAAACTCCAATGGGTGCTCATAAAAACAACATTTATTTGTGTTAGAAAGGTAGAGAAAAGGGTAAGTTAGAGAACCTTCCATCAGCTGGCTCACTCCCCAGATGGACCCACGACCACAGGTGGGCTGGTCAGGAGCCAGGAGCTGCTTCGGCATCTCCTACATGGATGCCATCTTCCACTCTTTTTAAGATATTTATTTATTTGTATTGGAAGGTCAGATATATACAGAGGAGGAGAGACAGAGAAGAAGATCTTGCGTCCGATGATTCACTCCCCAAGTGAGCGCAACGGCCGATGCTATGCTGATCCAAAGCCAGGAGCTTCTTCCAGGTCTCCCACGCAGGTGCAGGGTCCCAAGGCTTTGGGCTGTCCTCCACTGCTTTCCCAGGCCACAGGCAGGGAGCTGGATGGGAAGTGGAGCAGCCGGGACATGAACCGGTGCCCATATGGGATTCCAGCACATGCAAGGCGAGGACTTTAGCCGCTGTGCCTCATCTTCCACTTTTTTTTTTCCCTCCCAGACAAATGTTAGCAAGGAGATGAATTAGAAGTGGGCCAGCCAGGACTCAAACTGTTGTCCATATGGGATGCCGGCGCTGCAGGGAGCAGCTTAGCCTATGACACCACAGCGCTGTCCCCCTGCTTTAGTTTTTCTTATATGCTTTATTTATTTGAGAGGCAGAGGGAGAGAGAGAGAGAGAGAGAGAGAGAGAGAGAGAGAGGAAGAACACACAGATAGAAACTCAGTCCACTCCCAAGTGGGTGATAGGGGACCTGAGTGCTGGAGCTGACATCACCTGCCGCCTCCAGGGTGTGTGCCTCGACGGCACAGGAAGCTGGGCTTAGGAGGGAGGGAAGAGGAGGCTGGCCTCGAACCCAGGCACTCCAGTTGGGGATGTGAGCTGTCCAACCCAGGTGTGAACTGTGCAGTGTCAAAAAAACAAAACAAAGCAAAGCAGGACCGCGGGGGCTTCATGCTCCCGGAAAGGTGGTGACCAAGGCTTCTTTCTACGCAAGAAGATGCTCCCGGTAAAGCAAGTGGCGACCAAGGCTTCTTTGCAAAAAACGTAGGAGAAGGAGAAGACGGGCAGGGGGCCCTGAGGCTGCTGCTGAGAAAGGGAGAGAGAGAGAGAGAGAGAGAGAGAGAGAGAGAGAGAGAGAGAGAGAGAGAAGGGTTTGGAGGCACAGGCAGCAGATGGGGTCAAGGGTCAGCAGCTTCTCCCGATGTTGCATTTTTTTTTTTTTTCTTTTTCCCCTCCCAGCTTTTCCCTCCTGTCCCTTGATCCTCTTGCGTCTGGCCCCGCGGGGCGAGGCCCGAGTGAGTGGCACAGCCTGCATGTCAGCCAGCAGCCAGCCGTGGGGCTGGGGCGTGCAGTTTCGGATTCCACAGCCTGGAGCTGGCTCAGAGCCCTGCTGAGTCAACTTCTGTGTTTCCCTTAGCTTGAACCCGGGGCCAGTCTGCCCCCCGCCCCCCCGGGGAGCCTTCCTGGCAGGCAGCAGTCCCGTGCCAGCCTCCTGTCCCTGGCTGGGCAGAGGCCAGTCTGCGGGGAAGACTGGATGGGCACCCCAAGAGGGATGGGGTGAGGTTTCTAAGTAAGTGGGTTCATTGAATACTTGATCCCGTGGGAGGGACCAGGTTCCAAACCCACAGTCTCCCACACTTGTGTTTTGGTCCTAAACCTGTCCTTAAATGCCAGGGTCAGCATCTTCAGGAATGTACCCCCACCGTGGGCTCAGACAGCAGGTCCCTGATGGGACGAATGAATGAATGAGTGAAGAAATGCATGAAAAGGGGGAGGGAAAGAGGGGCCCATCCAACACAAAGGTTTGCTTTGTTTGTACTGGTGGGGGGCGCTGTTGTTTAGACGGGGTGGGCTCAGAGGGCCTGGCGCTTGGAATGTAACCTATATGGACCCTATTTCCTGCCTACCCCAGGGGCACTCACACCATTTGTGGGGTGGGGTGGGAGGAATATGGATTGGATGGGAAAAAAGATCCCACCCCTTCTCCCTCCCCGGCTCTGACTTGGGGAGGGGGACAGGAATGCACCCGCTGACGCAAACGCCCTTTAAGCTCACTGAGCGAGGCGTGGGTGGGATGTTGCTGGCCGGAGGGTCTAGGGGGTGGGCTCCGGATACACAGGGCGTACCCCGAGACTCTTCTTCGCGGGAACTTCCAGCGCACCGGACCCCACCCTGCCCGGGGCAGCCATCGCTCCGCCCTTGGCCCTCCCCGCGCCCCGCCTCCGAAGCTCCCCTTCCCACCCCCTGCACCCAGCTTATAAAAGGGGGCGTTGGTCGCAGCTGCGAAGCTAGCAGGCCTGCAACTGTAGTCTAGCTGCTCCTTGCGGTTGAATTCGGGCACCCCGATCGCGTCTCTGGGTCTCGTATCTCCAGCATCCCCGCCGCGTCCTGAGCACCCCTCCCCACACACACACACACACGCACACACACACACAGGTCGACCCCAGGAAAAATGCGCTGTGCGTCCACAGCCGGCGCAGCCCTGGTGCTGTGCGCTGCCACCGCCGGGCTGCTGAGCGCCCAGGACGGCCCCGCACAACCCGAATCTCCTCGCTTCGCGTCCTGGGACGAGATGAACTTGTTGGCGCACGGGCTGCTGCAGCTGGGCCACGGATTGCGCGAACACGTGGAGCGCACCCGCGGGCAACTGGGCGAGTTGGAGAGGCGCCTGGGCGCCTGTGGAGCCACCTGCCAGGGGTCCGGAGCGTCCACCGCGCCCCCGCAAGTCTCTGAAAACCCGGTACCCAGCGACGAGCCAGCAACCGAGACCCTGCGCAACCTGCAGGTAGGTACACCCTCCCAAGACTGCCCGCTGGCTTGGATGCGTTAACCCCCCGGAAAAGAGAAAGCCAAAGGAAGGGACGCACTGGGGACTCCTTGGGCTCCCCTGCTCCCATCTCAAAGGATCACAGTTTTGCAAAGGACAGACGTGAATCCGGGTGAATGAATGTGGAGGAGTGCGAAGGGGTTTGGGATGGGGGCGGGGGCGGTGTTGGGAGACCCAGGAGCGGAAAGCCGGGGCCTCACTGAGATGGTCCACCCGTGTGCGCCTCACCTAGATGCAAATCAAGGCTCAGAACAACAAGATCAAACAGTTGTTCCAGAAAGTGGCCCAGCAACAGCGACACTTGGAGAAGCAGCAATTGAAAATTCAAAATCTACAGAACCAGGTGGCCCACCCAGGAGGCGATGGCGGTGGCGACGGTGGTGGGGAGGAGGGGAAGGCTGGGTCCTTTTCTCTCTCTCTCCCCACACACTCCAGCCCTGACACCCTGCTTGCTTTCTCCGCCTCAGGTTGGCCTCCTGGCACCTGGGCACTTACACAAGGGACTGGCTAAGTCTGCCAGAAAGAAGAGGCTGCCCAAAATGGCCCAGGCTGTTGCGGCTGACCCGGCTTGGAACGCCAGCCGCCTGCGTGGTAAGTATTATGCACAACCCCTGCAACCGGCACAACCTCTCCTTATTAAGCCTGGAGCGTGAGCTTGCCCGGGGTTGGGTGAGGGGCTGAAGAGGGTACAACTCAACCCCGCCACATTCAAGTCAGAAAACACCCCTCACCCTTCTCCTTGGCCAGCTCCACTGACCAGTGACTGGGGCGGGCGAGGGTTTGGGAGACGGAAACCCCGAAAGATTGGAGCTGAGGGACCAGGAGGGAAGGGGAGGGCTGGCAAAAGCTCTGGGCACATCCGAGTATTCTCAAAGGGCGTGATGGACCAGAGCAGGCCGGGTAGGGCGATCTGAGGTTCCCCCTTGCCATGCACCCCGTTATCTCTTGAGGTGTGCATCTAAGGAGAACTCCTAGGTGGCTAGACACCCCTCAATCTTGCACCTTTAGAATTCACAACGAGGGGGCCCCAGTGCTGTCACATTTTGCAGACACTGAGCGATCATTGTCATGGCTCAGTGTTTAGATCGTGGCATGCCATCCTCGGATATTTCAACACATTCACGCGGTGTATTTTGGTGCCCAACCCAACCCGTTGGACACCATGCCTCATTCTGTCTTTGTTACTTTTTTTTCCCCCTCTGGGAGCATGACTTTTAAAACTTGCCTGTCACCTCCGAAGAAGAAGTGACATCTTTCACTTTCATGTGCCACAACCTTTTTGAAATACCCTCTCCAAGTTCCCCTAGTCCCAAGCCACAGAGCTGTGCTGTGTGTACGCGTGTGTGTGTGTGTGTGTGTGTGTGTGTATTTGCTGACACAATCACCCAGTTCCCACCCTAAGTTCACGGCCCCAAGACAGCCCGGCTTCCCTTTGGCCCTGCCCACTGCCCCGTCACCCTGCCGGGATCTGGGATGGAGGCAGGTCATAGAGCCAACTAGGTGAAAGTTCGGATTCCCCCCCCCTTTCACGCCTGAGGGCTTTGGGTTCTGTCATCATAGCCTGGGTTTCCGCTCCCAAACACCTCCTTCCCTTCCTCTCACTCCCCGCCCCAATCCAGTCCCATATGCCATTCCTTGTGGGAGGGAAGGGAGTGCGGTGGGGGGGGGGGGGAAGCAGCGTGATTTTGGGACTCCCAGACTTAGTCTAGCCAAGTAGGGGAAAGTTCATAGCTGTGGCTCATGGAAGCCACCGCTGGGGGTTTGGCCACGTGCCTGTCCTCATTGGATGGGAGGGAAGTAGGGCAAAGGGGAGCTGCCCGAGGGGGGCCCGGAAGGTGTCCTCCGGGCTGCTGCTGCTGGCCGCCTGGGTCCGCCCCCATGCCTGCGGTGTGGACACTGCCCTGCCTGCTGGCCTGCCCCTCCCCCCTGGTCACCTTTTCCCTACTTTGCCCAGCCTGGGGCTGGGGGTGGGTTTTTTTGTTGTTGTTTTTTTTTTGCAGCTTTTGTAGAACTGGGAACATCCTCCGAGTTCCTTCCCTCCATCCCTCCCTCCTCCCTTCCCTTCACCTCTCCTTCTTAGAGAACGGGGACCCACCAAGCCCCCAGTGCCCGCCCCGCCTCACCCCAGCCCAGGTCCCTCTCGTTCAACTCCGTCTGTCACCCATTCTTCGGATCTCTTGTTGTGGGTTAGGCTTAGCTCTGGATAACAACTCCACTGCTGGGGGGAGGAGGGAAGAAAAGGGTTTTGGGGGTGAGGTGGGAGGAGGTGTCCTTCTAAGAAGGTGGGAAATGAGGAGGGGACAGAGTCTGGCAGAGGGACCCGCATGCCCAGAGTTCCCCATGATGCAAGGGGGTAGGTGGGTAGGGTGGAAACTTTTTGTGGCTGGAAAGGGTGGGAGGAAGCAAGAGGGATGTGGGAGGGGTCTGTTCCTGGGGGGTGCCTTGTAGACCACCCCGAAGGAGAACCCCAGAGAGAGGTTAAGCAGGTGGGTGGGGTACACCCCACTTGTTGTGTCTGCAGGGCTGCCCCGAGACTGCCAGGAACTGTTTGAGGAAGGGGAACGGCAGAGCGGGCTCTTCCAGATCCAGCCACAGGGATCCGCCCCATTCCTGGTCAACTGCAAAATGGATTCAGGTGGGTCGTGCTGCCTGCTGCTCCGTTAGGGGCTGCCCCCTTCTCCACCCGGCCCCCCACCCCGCCCACTCAAGTTCACTCGCAACCTTGACCAAGCACCAAGCAGGAGAGCCTTCCTCTGCTAATTTCCACCTCGGGCTTGCCAGAGCAGGTTCAACCGGGGCCCTGCGGACGGCTGCTGCCCGCTCCCTCCCTCCATCCGTTCTTCCTGTCTTCCTCTCTCTGATCTACTTTCTTCAATGTTGCTCGGACCGATGGGGTATGCGTCCCCTGCTGCTTGGGAGGGTCCTAGCGGAGGGGGGGGTCTTGCTGCGATAACCCATACCCATCTCTGGGCAGACGGAGGTTGGACTATGATTCAAAGACGGCAGGATGGTTCTGTGGACTTCAACCAGCCCTGGGAAGCTTACAAGGCCGGCTTTGGCGACCCCCAAGGTGGGCATTCTCAGCCTGGGTAGCCGGAGAGGGGAAGGGAGGGAAGACACAGAATGGGAGACCGGCCTCATCCCTGTCTGATTCCTTCTGTCGCCACAGGCGAGTTCTGGCTGGGGCTGGAGAAGGTACACTGCATCCTTGGGGACCGGGGCAGCCACCTGGCTGTGCAACTGCAAGACTGGGAGGGCAACTCCGAGTCGCTAGAGTTCTCTATCCGACTGGGCGGCGAGGACACGGCCTACAGCCTGCGGCTCACGGCGCCCGTGGCCGGTGAGCTGGGTGTTGCCACCGCCGGCATCCCAGAAAACTCCTCCCTGCCCTTCTCCACGTGGGACCAGGACCACGACCTCCGTGGAGACCTGAACTGTGCCAAGACCCTGTCTGGTGAGTTAGCCCTCCCCTCTTACCCCTTCGATCCTATATTGTACCCAACTTGGGCGTCTCCGGCTTCTCCTGCCTGGCCTCAATTTTCTTATCTTTGAAATGGGTATAACCGCCACTGTGCCCACTATTCCATAGGACCTTTAGGAATACTTTTTTTTTTGTGGGATGGTGGCTAGCAGGTGGCAAGGCCCTTCAGAGCCAATCCATGTCTGGTTGTTAAGAAATGGGAGGCGAGCTTTGCCTCCAGGAAGTGAAACACGTAAAACTGCCTTTTTTTTTTTTTTGGTGGGATCCAAAAGGAGCAACATATTGGTGGCTTTGTGTGGCCTGGGACTCATGAGAGGTGATGCCACGGCGGTGACAGCTGTAGGAGGGCTTGGCTAAGTGGGCAGCGTGTGCCAGGTTGCCAGGGCTAAGAAAGTGAATTGCTGCCGGGGTGTCTTTGCTGGGATGACAGGGGCGAAAGGGGGTGCCCAGGGGCCCTACATCTGCCGTGGGGTTCCTGGGTCACCCCCTCTCTCACCTCTACCCTGCCTTCCCCCTGCCTTCCCGCCGACAGGTGGCTGGTGGTTCGGAACCTGCGGTCACTCCAACCTCAACGGCCAATACTTCCATTCCGTTCCCCGGCAGCGGCAGCAACGTAAAAAGGGAATCTTCTGGAAGACGTGGCGGGGCCGCTACTATCCGCTCAAGGCTACCATTATGCTGATCCGACCCATGGGGGCTGCCGCAGCCTCCTAGCCTCGTCGCTGGGGCCTGGTCCCAGGCTCCTCGTGGGGACATAGATTTTTTGGCTGTGGCCCAGCAGGTGGCTGGCCACTCCGCGCGTATGCCTTTCCTGGGGCAGGGACTCCCGGCAGGGGCCCTCTGCGGCCCTGTGGATGGAGAAGCAGTGTACGCCCAAGGAGTTGGCAAGGAGGACTTGAATACACCGCTCCTGGAGAAGAATTGGGGGGCCGTGGGGTGAGATGGCACGCCCAGGACTGTGGGCGTTAGGTCTCCGTGTTTGCCCAGGGACAAAGAGGGACCACTCAGAGATGGCCTGACTGGCCACTGATGGCGAACTCAGTCACACGGAACGGCTGGTGTGTGTGGTGGTGGTAGTGGATGGGAACCGGGGTGCCTTCACAGTGTTTCCTCTGTGCGGGTGTTGTGGCGTGAGCTGGCGCCGACCGCATCCAGGCGGAGTTCATTTTTGGAAAATAAAAGCAACTTCAGAACATTTTGTTCTTTTTCTGTCCTTCCCCTGTCTGTTTGGAAAAGCACACAGCTTCAAAGTCCGCGTAAACAAGTTCCCTGGGTGGAGACCGTACCCCTGGGTCCCTGGAGGACAAGCGGGTTAAGCCTCTTACCCGATTCCAACCTCTCCTTTATTCCTCATTCTGAAAACCTCCTTCATTTTCCTTTGCAAATCACCATGCAGAACCCACACGTGGTTCCGTCCACAACACAGCAGGTAACAGACCTGCAAAACCAGTTTCAACAACATTTAGGCAAAGGGAATCAAATTACTTCTTTTAAAAAAAAAAATTTTGAAAGAGGGCCCAACACAGCAGCCAAGTGGCTAAAGTCCTCACCTTGCACGCGCTGGGATCCCATATGGGTATCTGTTCTAACCCTGGCTGCACCGCTTCCCATCAAGCTCCCTGATTGTGGCCTGGAAAGCAGTCAAAAGGACAGCCCAAAGCCTTGGAGCTTGCACCCACGTAGGAGACCCGCAAGAGGCTCTGGGCTCCTGGCTTTGGATCAGCACAGCACCGGCCGATGTGCTCACTTGGGGAGTGAATCATCGGACAGAAGATCTTCCTCTCTGTCTCTCTTCCTCTTTATATATCTGACTTTCCAATAAAAAATGAAATAAATCTTAATTTGTTTTTGAAAGAGACTATCATTGCATTGGGTAACTCCCCAATGCCTACAACACAGCAGTGGTTAGATGCTGAGTCAAGCTTAGGCCAGGCGCCCCAGGTCTCCCACATTTTTTTTTTTTTAAAGATTTATTTATTTATTGGAAAGTCACATATACAGAGAGAAGGAGAGACAGAGAGGAAGATCTTCCGTCCGATGGTTCACTCCCCAAGTGAGCGCAACGGCCGATGCTACGCCGATCCAAAGCCAGGAGCCAGGAGCTCCTCCAGGTCTCCCATGCAGGTGCAGGGTCCCAAGGCTTTGGGTCGTCCTCCACTGCTTTCCCAGGCCACAAGCAGGGAGCTGGATGGCAAGTGGAGCAGCCAGGATTAGAACCGGCGCCCCTATGGGATCCCAGGGCGTTCAAGGTGAGGACTTTAGCCACTAAGCCACGCCGCCGGGCCCAAATCTTTTTTCTTTTTTTTAAAAAAAGAAGAAATATAGTTATGATTGTGGGCGCATGGCACAGCAGTGAGGATGTCTCTGGTATCATCAACATTCCACATCAGACGGCCTGGGTTCGAGCCTCTGCTCAAACCTCCCAGGTTCCTGAGAGTTGCCACCCTGAGAACAGAAGCCAATGATTGCTCAATTGTTTGGGTCCCTTTCACACATGTGGGTGACACTCCGAGTGCCAAGCCTGGACATTCTTGTCCTGCGCCCAACCTAGGCTGTTGGCAGCATTGCATGGATAGGGGTGAGGGAGTGGCCAAGTGGGTGAAAGATGTCTTTTCCATCAAATCAGTAAATACGCATGAAAAGCAAGTTAACCATTGCTCTGCCACACCTGGAAAATCTGTGTTGTCTGCGAGAAATGGATCGGGAGGCCTGAAGCTGGAACCCGTCACAATGGTTCAATGGCTAAGTCCTTGCCTTGAATGTGCTGGGAGCTCCTACGGGTGCCAGTGCGTGTCTCAGCTGTTCCACTTCCCATCCAGCTCCCTGCTTGTGGCCTGGGAAAGCAGTGGAGGACGGCCCAAAGCCTTGGAACCCTGCACCTGCATGGAGACCCGCAAGAGGCTCCTGGCTCCTGGCTTCGAACTAGCTCAGCTCCAGCCATTGTGGCCGCTTGGGGAGTGAACCAGCGGATGGGAGATCCTCCACTCTATCTCCCCTCTCTCTGTAAATCTACCCTAAGAATACAAATAAATCTTAAAAAAAAAAAAGGACTTAAAGTTGATTAAAAAATAAAAATTCCTGTGGAAGCCCGGCATGATGGCTTAGCACTTAAAGTCCTGGCCTTGCACGTGCTGGAATCCCATATGGGCGCCTGCTGGTTCACCCTCGAAGTGGCTCCAACACCCAGAGCTGAGCTGATCCAAAGCCAAGAGCTTCTTCCAGGTCTCTGACACGGGTGCAGGGTCCCAAGGCTTTGGGCCGTCCTCCACTGCTTTCCCAGGCCACAGGCAGGGAGCTGGACGGGGGAAGTGGAGCAGCTGGGACTCGAACTAGCGATCATATGGGATCTCAGCTCTTGCAAGGCTGAGGATTAGCCAATTGAGTCAGTTACACAAGGACCCCTCTGGAAGGTCATTTTAAAGGGGGGTGGGCATGAACAGGACCCGTCAAAAATCCACATTTTGGAGGCCTCTCTCTTGCTGTATTATTGAAGAGAGTGTGAGAGGAGAAAGAGGAGAAGGAGGACGAGGTCCCTACGCCTCACAGCAGTGACGGTTGGGCACCAAAAGGCGCGCCGCACCCCTTACAATCAATCAATGAATCAATACATTAGGCCATGGATAAACCCTGGGAGCGGGGTATAAAGCAAGCTGGGGGTGGGGGGAAGAGGAGGCGCTCATGTTGGGGAGAGCCCGGCTTCCCCCCCCATAAGAGAAGTTATTATTATTATTTTAATGTTAAATGATGCCTTCTAGGGCAAAGTATAGACCCAGGACTAGGCGTGGGAAAGATGCCATTTTTTTTCTCAAAAAGATGGAAGGCGGTCCCAGGAGTGAGCGAGCCGGGGACGCCGGGGCAGCGCACAGGGCTGTGACGTCATAGGCACGTCCAGCAGCGTCGCAGCACCTGGACGTCCTTTCCCCGACAGGTCCCTCCGGGAGCCGGACCCAGCGCGAATCAAGCTTCTCATTGGCTAAGAGTTCCGTCAATCCCTTTCATTCTTGCAGTCTTCCGTCCCGCCTCCCCCATACCTGCCTCTGATTGGTCGAGGAGGCCGTCACTCCAGAAAGGTCCGCATTCCTTCCGCCTTTCTCCAGGAGACCGAGGGCGAGGAGGGCGGGTTTCCGGCAGTCCCCACCCCCCTGGACTCTGATTCCATCTCCCATTGGCTGAGCTGCGTGCCGGTCGCTTCCCCGTCCGCCTCCGATTGGCCAGGTCTCCGCCGCTCTGCGCGGCGCCGGCTCCGCCCCCGTCGGGTGTTTGTGGTGGGGCTGCGGAGTCGCCGATCCCGCCGGAAGCGCCAGGACAATGGGGACCCGGGACGACGAGTACGACTACCTATTCAAAGGTACGCTCGGTGAGGGGCACAACGGGGCGAGGGGGCGAGACGGTGAGCTGGCGGGTCGAGGCCGTGCCCCGATCCCCTGGGCCCAGACCGGAGCCTGAGGCTGGGGACTCGGTGAACCAGGCCCCTGGGGAAGGCCGGGCCCAGCCAGGCGACGCTCCATCCGCGGCGGGACGGAATGAGAGGCGAAGGCGGAGCGGCGGTTCCCGGAGAGGCCTGAGGGGCCCGGGCTGCGGCGAGGCGGGGCCCGGACTGAGGGGGCGGGGCCGGAGCCGGGAACGAGGCCATTCGGGGCGGGGCCTGGCCAGAGGGGGGCGGGGCCCGGAACCGGGATCCAGACCGTTAGGGGGCGGGGCCTGCCCCGGAGGGGGCCATGGGCCTGAGTGGGTGGGGCCTGGCCCGGAGGGGGCGGGGCTGGAGCCGGGAGGGAGGCTTTAGGGAGGTGGGGCTTGGCCTAAGGGGCGGGGCTGGAGCCGGGAGAGAGGCCTTTGGGGGCGGGACCAGGGTGTGGTGGGTGTGTCCCAGAAGTAGGTTGCGTCTGGTTAGGAAGGGGCGGGGTCACATGAAACCCGTTGTGATTGGAGGCGTGGCTCGGGGGCGGGGCCTGAGGGGCGGGGCCCGGAGAGGGGAGGGCCGTGGTGTGGAGTGGTCAGCGTTGACAGCAGTCATGGAGGCGGAGAGATAGGCATGGATGAGCCCCTACCCACCACTGCACCCCGCAGTGCCCGCAGCGGGTCGCGGGTGTGCCAGGCCGACGCAGGGAGCCGCGATTCGCAAGGGAGGGGAGGCCAGAACCCCGTTCTCTGCGCTCCCCCCTGTGCCAAGGTCTGCCCTTGGGGGAGCTGCTAGCGCTGACTCGGAACCTGCACTTGTCATGGCACTTTATGAGCCGCGTCTTCATTCCGATCCTGAGCCACTGTGGCCTGACGGAGCGGTCGAGGCCAGGCCTGCACCCAGACCGGCTGGGGGCTGTACCGCTTACAGAAGCGTGTCTTAGGGGGCGAGGGTTGGTGGCCGGGGTCTGGGACTAGGGGGGGAGCCATCATACCACCTGCTGCACGCCTGCCCCTTGGGATCTCAATCACTGCACCATCGTGCTGGGCCCCAGCCCCCTGGGACCAAGCCCAGGCGGGCCAGGCAGCCACCAGCTGGCCGGTGAGTCGCCCACTGTGTCGCTGCAGGGCCTCGTTGTTTCAAAGGCGTGGGCCTCCCTGGCCCGGCTTGTTCGCTGCGGTCCACGCTGGGCTCCTTAACTGCCCATGCCGGCCCTTGACCGTTGCCCTGCACACTGGCTCCGTGTGCTGGAAGCACGTGGGGGCTGACGGAGGATGGCAGGGCGCCTGCAGGCTTCCAGGCAGCGGCCTGTGGCACCCTGGAAACCGGGGCTGTGGCTGGTTGATGGGGTGTTGGTAGGGGTCGTGGCAGGTGGACCACACACTGGAGCAGGCAACAGGCTCCACTCCGGGCTCTGCTGGGGCCCTGCTTGACACCTCCGGGTTTCTTTCTTTCTTTTAGAAAGATTTCTTTATTTTTACTGGAAAGGCAGATCACATTTATGGAGAGGAGAGACAGAGAGGAAGATGTTCCATTTCACTCCCCGAGTGGCCGCATCGGACGGAGTTGAGCTGATCTGAAGCCAGGAGCCAGGAGCCTCTTCCGGGACCCTCTTCCGGGTCTCCCACACGGGTGCAGGGTCCCAAGGCTTTGAGTTGTCCTCCACTGCTTTCCCAGGCCACAGGCAGGGAGCTGGATGGGAAGTGGAGCAGCTGGGATTAGAACCGGCATCCATATGGGATGTGCAAGGCGAGGACGTTAGCCACTAGGCTACCGCGCTGGACCCTCTTTCTTTTTAAAAAGGATTTCTTTATTTTAATTGGAAAAACAGATTTACAGAAAGAAGGAGAGACAGAAAGATCTTGCATCTGCTGGTTCACTCCCTAAGTGGCTGCATCGTCCAGAACCAACGCCAGGAGCCAGAAGCCTCTTCTGGATCTCCCATGCAGGTGCAAGGTTCCCAAGGCTTTGGGCCGTCCTCTCCTGCTTTCCTAGGCCACCGGCCGGGAGCTGGATGGGCAGTGGGACAGCCAGTTAGCCACTGAGCCACCCATTTCCTGGCCTCTGCAGTCCTTACTGTCGGTGTCCTGTTATAAGCATCCTGGCTCCCAGTGTCCGCCTGAGGCCTCTGAGCTCGTTTCCTGCCAGTGTGCTGTTCCCAGAGGCAAAGTCACTGGGTCAGGGGCGAGCGGGGCAGCAGCCGCGTGGTTCCCCGGGCCGGGTCTCTGGAGTCCACTTCCTGGAAACGCTGCTTTAGCTGCTGCAGGAAGCGGCCGCCTGCAACGCCACTCTCCCCTGTCCCCAGCCTCTTGTCCCCAAGGTCAGCATTCCCCCGCCACCCGTCCCCCGTTGGGGTCGTAGCCACAAGTTGTCTCGGCCGGGTCTCCTCTTTCTTTTTTTTTTCCCCCCTTTTGTTTAAAAAAGCTGCTTTTAAAATATGGGAAATTCTCAAAAGAAAATATATATAGGAAAATATAAACAAATAAATACTAGATATATGAAAGTCAGATTTTAGAGAGAAGGACAGACAGAGAGAAAGATCTTCCATCCGCTGGCTCGCTTCCCAAGCAGCCGAGCTGAACCGATCTGAAGCCAGCAACCAGGAGTCTCCCATGCAGGTGCAGGGTCCCAAGGTTTTAGGCCATCTCTGCTGCTTTCCCAGGCCACAAGCAGGGAGCTGGATGGGAAGTGGGGCTGCCGGGAAGCAAACCGGCGCCCGTATGGAATCCCGGCATGTGCCAAGGCGAGGATTTAGCCACCGGGCTACCATGTCAGGCCCCTTTCCTTCTTATTTTTAAGTTTGTTTGTTTTGAAAAAACAGAATTAGGGAGAGAGAAAGATCTGCCATATTCTGGTTCACTCCGCAAATACTTGCGACAGCCAGAGCTGTGCCAGACTGAAACCAGGAGCCAGCAGCCTCTTCCACGTCTCCCGTATGGGTGCAGGGTCCCAAGGCAATTGGGCCATTCCTCTGCTACTTTCCCGCATGAGCAGGGAGCTGGATCAGAAGCGGAGCATCCCGGGGCCCGGCGCGGTGGCGCAAGTGGTTAAAGGTCCTCGCCTTTCACGCCCGGGATCCCATATGGGCGCCGGTTCTAATCCCGGCAGCCCTGCTTCCCTTCCAGCTCCCTGCCTGTGGCCTGGGAAAGCAGTCGAGGACGGCCCAAAGCTTTGGGAACCTGCACCCGCGTGGGAGACCCGGAAGAGGCTCCTGGCTTCGGATCGGCATAGTATCGGCCCGTTGCGCTCACTTGGGGAGTGAAACATCGGACGGAAGATCTTCCTCTCTGTCTCTCGTCTCTCCTCTCTGTATATCCGCCTTTCCAATGAAAAAATAATAAAAATAAATCTTAAAAAAAAAGAAGCGGAGCATCCCGGAAGGGCGCTGGTGATGCAGGCACCACATATATAGTATGTGCTGGCCTTCCCGGGGCTGGGCTCACGCGACATTTGTCTCTCGTGGCTCGTGTTTCCACCTTGTTGAGTGCCAGGGAGCTCCGTGGCTCTGCCAGGGGCGAACAGGCAGGAAGCAAAATGTCTGTCATGCACGCTGAGGTCCCTTCTTGATGCCTGGACCTGTGTGTCCTGCGCTAGCCATGGCCCCAGGGGCGCTGTGCCCATGGGCTGCGGGGTTCAGATACTACCAGGCTGTGAATGCCAACTGGGGGTATCTGGTCCCCATGCAGCTCTCCGGCCCTGCCACGTGAGGGAAGTCCCCCCGGGTCGTCCCCTTCCCTGCGTCCCGGCTGGCGCCCTGATGCAGAGAAGGGGCCACCCCTGCTTGCAGGGGACACCGGCCGTCGCACTTCCCTGCCGGCCACGTCACACGCTGGCTCGCTTGACCTCGCGGCCAAGGCCAGCAGGTCCCCAAGTTCTGGCCGTGTGCTATTTGTCTCCCTCCCAGGAGCGAGCTTGTTTATCTGTAGCTAATTATAGAACGTTCTATTTCTCCCGGTCAGTCCCCAATAGTCCAGCCTTGTCTTACAGACTTTGGGCTACAGGGCTGTGCAATGAGGAAGACTGTCCCCCGAGGGCCACCAAGGGTCTCCTGGACGTCTCCCCATCTTCCTCCAGAGCCCCTGGCCAATCAGGGCCCACCTAGCCCTCGCAGACATGGGTCAGAGGAGAGAGGCTGGGGTGGGGGTTCCACCCTCTGGGCTGTGGTCAGCTCCAAGCAGCTCCTGCTCTGTCCAGGGACCCAGACCTCGGGGTTCCACCTATGCCCCAGCTGGGGATCCCTCTTCCCCAGAGAGTCATGTTGAGGTTGGGGGGGGGGTGGCGCAGGGGTTGGGATGCTGGGGGTGAGGGGCAGAGAGCCCTGGCTGTGCCTGCAAGGGGGCACCGGCTTGCCAGTGGTCACTCAGTTGACCTTGTGCTGTTCTGGGCTCCGGGAATGCCGCTCTAACCCCACCCCCAACTGGGAAGGCTTTTTGTTTTTACTAAGTGCGTTGGCCTGCTCTGCAGGCCAGGCGGTGTGTCCACAGGGACCCAGTCCTGGATCCACAAAACGCCACGGGTGGCGTGTCCTCAGTGGTCCTCGCTTGGTCTAGCACAACGGAACTGTGTGCTTGGGACACTGGCGTTTTCATTCCCCACCTGCACGTGGAGCCAGCCTGGCCACTGCCCTGCTGGCCAGCTCGCAGCATTAGGTACCCCCTGGGCTCTCCTGGCATCATCGGGCAACCTTGGGCGGGGAGCTTGGATCCTGTGGGCTGGGTGTCCCCACCCGGCCCCCAGTTAGTTCTGGGAATTACACTGAAGCCTTTCTGCGCCCCCGCCCCCCGCGCCTCAGTTTGCGCATCTGTCAAATGGGCTGGGTGGCGCTAGCTGGGCCTTGGGAACTTCCCTGTCACAGCCTTATCGAACGTCCCTTTGTGTACTTGCCGTAATTATTTTGGGCCCTGGCACAGCCAGGCCAGAGGGGAGTCAGGTGGTTGGGGCAGCAGAGGACTGCCAGGAGGTAGGGGGGGTTAGCCCTGGGAAGCCCTGCCAGCCGGTTAGGTACTTCGCTGTCATTTCACGGGCACGGGTGGGTGGACCTGTGGCCAAGGTCTGGGCATGAGTAACAGCGGGAGGCGAGCGTGAACTTGGGAGCTGACTCGGGTGCTCACACGTGCCCCCTGGCGGCTGTGAGGACAACAGGCGCCGGCGTTGAGGGACCCACTGCCAGGGGTCCCACCCAGCCACACGGTGCTGAGTGTTCACCCACTCGGGCTCCCCACGCGTGGCCCAGGACAAAAGCCACGGCCCCAGACCCCAGCAGTGCTCCTCCCCTCCCCTTCCTGGATCTGTCTGGAGCGCACTGAGGGGCTGGCCCCGCGTGTGAGGGGCAGAAGGGGCGTCTGGGCCCCGAGTCTGGCTCATTAGACAGGGTAGGTAGGGGTGGGGCCAGCCAGAGTGGAAGCCTGCAGCCCCCAACCCGGGGCGGGAGTGCAGCTGCACAGAGGAGAGGCAGCCCATGTCTGCTCTGCTCCCTGCATCTTTCCGCTTTTTGGGGGTGCAGCCCCCCCCCCACCAGCACACCTTGTGTCTCCTGGGGGCAGACAGAGAGGAGGAGAGACACATCTTCCATCCGCTGCTTCACTCCCCAAGTGGCTGCATCGGCCAGAGCTGAGCCGATCCGAAGCCAGGAGCCAGGAGCCTCTTCCGGGTCTCCCACGCGGGTGCAGGGTCCCAAGGCTTTGGGCCGTCCTCCACTGCTTTCCCAGGCCACAGGCAGGGAAGCTGGAGGGACGTGGAGCTGCCGGGATATGAACTCTGGCACCCATCTGGGATCGATCCCGGTGGTTACAAGGCGAGGACTTTAGCCACCAGGCTACCGCGCTGGGCCCTGAGGATGGATTTCCATCGGGAACAGTCAGTGGCCTGCAGGGGACACAGCTGCTCAGTCAGTCCCTCCCCGTGCCGGCCACGCCTGCTGCAGGAGGGGTGTGGCTGGCCCTCCTCTAGTTCCACACCCAGAGAGGTTAGGTCCCCTGCCCAAGGTCCCCCCCGCTCCAGGGGGTCCTTGAGCTGTTACCCCTGGGTGGCCGAGCGGCCCAGCCCTGGGGTGCAGGCTCACGGAGGGCGATGTCTCAGCCCCAGCTGGGATGGCCGTTCTTTGAGGGTCGTGGCCCCCGAGGGCTGGTAGACGAAGTCCCTCTGGGACCCTGCCGTGGTCCTGCCTCCTGGCCAGTTGCAGGCGGGGAGCATCTGCCACTGTGCCACGTGGGTGGGTGGGTGCGTGCGTGCGTGGGTGCGGGGGCAACCCGCGTCTCACTGAGCCTCACCCTGCCTGCTCCCCGCAAGTGGTGCTCATCGGGGACTCGGGCGTGGGCAAGAGCAACCTGCTGTCGCGTTTCACCCGCAACGAGTTCAACCTGGAGAGCAAGAGCACCATCGGCGTGGAATTCGCCACGCGCAGCATCCAGGTGGACGGCAAGACCATCAAGGCGCAGATCTGGGACACGGCGGGCCAGGAGCGCTACCGCGCCATCACCTCCGCGTGCGTGTCGCCCCAGGGAGCTGTGAAGGGGGCGGCGGAGGGCGGAGGGACCCCCGCACGAGCCGTGGGAGGGTCCTCCTGCACTGGGTGGCCCCTGGGAGCTGGGGCCAGGGCTTTTCTCTCTCTCTCTCTCTCCCCCACCCGAGCCCGACATGCCTGGGGTGGGGGCACCTTGCTGGGCCGGCCTGCTCCTCAGCTCTGTCCCGTGGTTCCGGACCGGAGCCAACCCCACTTTCTGAGTCTCCCCATCCCTGCCTCTGCTGGGTGCTGGGACCTCTCCCTTTCCTTCGGGTGGACCTGCTGCTTCTATGTCCTGGGTGGCCTGGGTGCACGGCGCCTGCGCCCCAGAACGCGACACACAGCCTCATGGGGGGGACCTCACACCTGCCCGCCCGCGCGCGTGCCCCCTGCAGGTACTACCGCGGCGCGGTGGGCGCCCTGCTGGTCTATGACATTGCCAAGCACCTGACCTACGAGAACGTGGAACGCTGGCTCAAGGAGCTGCGGGACCACGCCGACAGCAACATCGTCATCATGCTGGTGGGCAACAAGAGCGACCTGCGCCACCTGAGGGCCGTGCCCACCGACGAGGCCCGCGCCTTCGCAGGTGCGCCTGGAGGGGGAGGGGCGCGGCAGGGAAGCATCCATCGCCAGGGTGGTACCCGCTGCACCTGCCGCACCCTCCCTGCTCACTGTGCGCGTGTTTTCTCGGTGTGTTCCAGAGAAGAACAATCTGTCCTTCATTGAGACCTCGGCCTTGGATTCCACCAACGTGGAGGAAGCCTTCAAGAACATTCTAACAGGTGGGCACACCGGGATGCCAGTGGGTCGCACAGCCCCGGACCTGCGCTGGTTAGACCCGCGGGGTCAGGGCCGGTCTGGACACGAGGCCACGCGTGCTGCTCCCCTTCAGGCTCGGGAGGCCACATCCGGAACACGGGGACCCCTGAGCCAGCTGCACAGATGGGGCACCGTGTGGGCCACCCCCCTCCCCTCCGAGCCCTTGGGTCCAGGCGTGTGCCAGCCATGGCTGTGGTCCAGGTGGGGCCCCGTCCCTGCGCAGCGGACGGCCGCTGGAAGGGGGTGTCACAGCTCCCCCTCCCGCCCTTCCCCTCACCCCGCACAGAGATCTACCGCATCGTGTCGCAGAAGCAGATCGCAGACCGCGCTGCCCACGACGAGTCCCCTGGCAACAACGTGGTGGACATCAGCGTGCCGCCCACCACCGATGGACAGAAGCCCACCAAGCTGCAGTGTTGCCAGAGCCTGTGACCGGTCCTCCCCTGCGTCCCCGCGTGCGTGCACGGCCTCGTCCTGTCCTCAGCCCGGCCCCCTCCCCGGCCCTGCCCAAGCGAGCTCCTGCCCGGCCCCTCGCCTGTGGATGGATGATGGAGGAGGGGGGGGGCAAAAGGAACAGCAGCCGCCCCCCCTCGGGTCCCGCCGCCACCCGGGGAAAGCCACAGCAGCAGCAGCAGCAGCAGCAGCAGCAGCCCTGGCTTGCAGTACCTGCTCTTCCCTGGTGGACCCCACCCCACCCCCTGCCGTGGGCATCTCAGTAGGCTAAGAAGGACAGGGCTGGCCAGCGGTCAGGAAGACGGGCACACGAAGCTGGATGCTCTCCTTCTCCGTGGCACACTCCATGGGCGATGGTGCCCTCCGTGTGTGTGTGTGTGTGTGTATGTGTGTGTGTGTGTGTGTGTGTGTGTGTCTCTCTCTCTCCTCCACCAGACCCAGCAGGTGCCCGGGCCCACGCAGGGCCGGCCAGGTGAGGTGCTGGTCCCTGGCCTCCCCCCACCCGAGCAGCCGGCACCTGTGGGCTGGAGCTGGGAGAAGCTCCCTCCCCGCTCCCTGTCTCGCCCCCTCCTGCACGCCGCGCGCCCCCCTTCCCCCTCCCCCCGTCCTCGCCCTCCCCCACCCCCATCTGTCTCGTCTCCCTGTCCGGTCAGGAACCTGTCTGTGAGTGAAGCAATATCTCCGTGTTTTGTATATACAGCCGCTCTTGTAGCCTCTGTTTTTCTTTGTTATTGTAGAGAAACACAGATTCTTTATACAGTTTGTAAGATTTACGCCAACCCCAGCTCTTGAACTCTTGATTCTCTCTGTGCCCTTCCGGCCTCCCCCCACCCCCACCCCCCACCGCACTGTTGCCCCTTACTAAAGTGTATGAGCCAACTTCCTGTTCAGAAGCCCATGGCTGCGCCTCTGTCTTCTTTCTCTCTCTCCTGAGCCCCGGCCCCTGGCTGCTGGGTCCCCGCTGCGCACTCGGCCCCTCACCAGGACACAGTTTAGGGGGCGAGGGGTGGGGTAGGGGAGCTGTGGGGTCTCCCTGTACGGAGTGTGGCCAAGGGCCGGCCTTGACCATGAAGGGGAGGCCAGCTCTGGCCACCCACAGGAGGATGTGATCATGGCAAAAGGCGGGGGCCCTGCCTGGGCCGTTTCGCACAACCCAGCTGCTCCATGTGTGCGCATGTGCGCCAGGCCCAGTGGGGGCTGTGGGTGGCCCAGTGGGGGCTGACGGGGTCACACAGGTGCCACCTACGGGTCCCCGGGACAGGGGCTGACTCCTACGAACCTGTGATGGCAGAAAACTGCGGGGTGGGGTGGCTGCAGAGGGGTCCCTAACAGCCCGATGAGGGGCAAGTTGCAGGACCCACTTCCTCCTGTGCTTCCTGCCCCACCTTAGGACTCCCAGGCCAGCACTGGCTGTCTTAAGGACTTTGGTCCCAGTCACTTCTAGAAACACACCAGGAGGGCTGACGCTGTGGCTCAGTGGGCTAATACGCCGACCGTAGTGCCAACAGCGTTACAGACACGGGTCTCGGTTGCTGCACTTCCCAAGCAGCTCCCTGCTGACACGCCTGGGAAAGCAGTGAAGGATGGCCTAACAAATGCTCGGGGGGGCCCCTGATGGAGCATCCAGCTCCTGGCGTCAGCCTGGCCCGAGCCTGGCCGTTATGGGCATTTGGGGAGTGAACAGCACTTGGAAGGTCCCCCTTCGTCTCTCTCTCTCTCTCTCTCTCTCCCCTCTCTCTCTCTCTAACTCAGACTTTCAAAATACTTCTTCCAAAAAGGTAAATAAACTAACGCACCCAGCTCTGTGCCAGGTCTGTTTTCAAGTCATTAACCCATTTACGGTAAAACACCACTCGCACCCAAAGCTGACCATTGAAAGCGTTTGGAAATGTTCAGTTCTGGGCCCCTCAGCCCGTTCACAACACTGTACCACCGTTTCCACAACTGTCCCCCACCTCCCCAAACTCTGCTCATGAAACTCCGTCTCCACTACCCCCACCCTCCTGGCATTCTCTCCTTCTACTTCTTGCCCCCTGAAAAGCTGATGGCTGTGGGTCCCCTCATCCCTGACCCACGGTGACCTTCTTAGCAAGGCGAGATTCAACAGAGGGAAAGATAACTTGCCAGCCACTCCTTCCCTCCCCAAACGAGCCCAGCCACAACAAATCCTGTGGTTCAATTCTCCTCTCCCACGTGGAGCCAAGGAGTGGAACCCAGGCACGTGAGCAGAGAGCTGGATGAGAAATGCAGCGGCCAGGACTCCGATTGGTCCTCCTGGGGGATGCCAAGGACGCAGGCAGCAGCTTGGCACACATACCATGCTTCCTAGCCAGGGGCATCTCCGAGATAGAGCTAGAAAAGCATTTTTTTGGGGGTGGTTTGGTTCAACAGTTGAGCTGATGCTCCTGGGTGTCCCCAGGCCTGTATCCGAGGACTTGCTCCAACCCCTGGCTACTCCAAATTTTGGACCCGTCTTCCGGTTCGTGCACCCTGGAGGTAGCAAATGAGGACTGGCTGTGTGTTCCCTGTGCGAGAGATCCGGATGGTGTTTCAGGACTGTGATCTGACCCTGCTCAGCCTTGGCTGTTGCGGCCATTCGGGAAACGAACCAGCAGATGCTAGATATTCTCTTTCTGAATAAATACATCATTTTGGATCCATTGCAATGGCTCGATGGCTAAATCCTCACCTTGCAAGCGCTGGGATCCCATGGCAATGCCGGTTCGTATTCTGGTGGCTGCTCCACTTCCCATCCAGCTCCCTGCCTGTGGCCTGGGAAAGCAGTGGAGGACGGCCCAAAGCCTTGGGACCCTGCACCTGTGTGGGAGACCCGGAAGAGGTTCCTGGCTCCTGGCTTCGGATTGGCACAGCACCGGCCGTTGTGCTCACTTGGGGAGTGAATCATGGGACCCTCTGTCTCTCCTCCTCTCTGTATAACAGACTTTGCAATAAAAATAAATCTTTAAAAAAAAATTGTGTGGCAAATGAAGAACAGAAATCAGGATGGAGCACACGTCATGCCGAACTGGGCTGTTACGCCAACTGGTCTGCATGAGCCAGGGGTACGAGGCCACAGCATGGAAAGCAAAGGCTGAGACAGGTGAGGGCTAAGCCAATTGGGTCAAAGCAACCACTGGCACGCGCGTCATCTAGGGCTGGGACTAGACTCGGTTGGTGAGCTGTGAGAATACACCTTTGCTGGGTTGGGGTTCCCATGAGAGAATACGGGGGCTGGAGTGGGGACCGGACCGCGTTCTGGACTGGATATGGCTTGGGAAACTCCTCTGTCGGGACACAGTCCCTGCAGGTAAGCGCAAGAATCATGAGAGGGAGCAACCCAGACCAGGCCAGGGAAAGGTACCCACCGGCATACATTTGGCACATAGGTCAGGGGCGGACATGGCTGATCAAGTTTACATCACACCAGAATAGAGTGTGGGTCGGGCCAGGTTCAGTCATGACACAAACCAGTGCGCATTACAGAATGCCAAGGTGAGATGAGCCGTGCTAGATGTGGTTGCATCGCCCAACCAGCACGCGTGAGAACCAGGGAGGGAGGGGCAAAGCTGGTAGGGGGAATGTGGAAGGCTCCTCTGCTGGACAGCTACTCCCACTGGAGAGTGTGAGCTGGGACGGGGACAGACCAGACCACGCAGGGCTACAACACCTGTGGGCCTCGTGTGAGCTAGATCACATGAAGGAAGGGACAGGTTGAGGGGGGCTTAATCTGTCAACTCCAGAACCAGCTGGAGAGTGCATCATCCGGGAGTGGGAGAGGCCTGGGAGGGAGATAGTGGGCACCTCCCTCTTGGGTTACCACTCCCACTGGAGGGCATGAAAACCAGGACTGGGGCAGGGGTGGCTGGACAGGTCTGGGATCACCTCGGACGAAGTTTCTTTGGGGATCCCTCCAACTGAACTGTTGATCTCAGAACTCCAACCATGAAGAGACTATATCAGCCAGTGGATTCTGATTGGAACGGCGAGATGGGCAGCAAATCAGAACTGTTGAAGTATCAAATCAGTCGAGCAGGACCCTCGGAGTATCAGGGACCTGGGATGGGTGGGAGGCGGGATGGGGTTTCTCCCTTTGTTTCTTCCCTGATCCCAGATACAGAGAGGGGGAAAAAAAAGTGATGATATTCGTGTGGAAACAATGGTCTTACCCACACACACACACGAAAAGAATTTGCGTGGAGCCTTTTGTCCCACAGTATCCCCGTGCATGCGTGAGAAAAAGGAAAAAAAAAAAAATTTTGTGGCTCAACATGTAATCAACGTTCCAGTTTGAGATTAAAATTTTAGTGCGATTAGCAAGATCTTTGCCGCTCCCTAGTTTGAGGCCCACGTGGGCAGGCAACGCTGTGTCCCCAGCACCCTGTCCAGGGCGGGAATGAATGAAGCAGAATAAAAGATTTAAAAACTCTTTTTAAACTCTTCCACCGTCCCAGCGCTGCTAAAGACGGGGCGGGGCCAGCCAGGGGGCGGGGCCAGGGGGCGGGACCAAGCCGCAGCCGGGGCGGGGCCAGGCAGCTGCCAGGGGCGGGGCCAAGCCGCAGCCGGGGCGGGGCCAGGCAGCTGCCGGGGGCGGAGCCAGCAGCCTGCTGCGCGGTGGGGGCCGGCACCGCCCAGGACGTCCCCCGGTCGCCCCCAAGCCCCGCCTCCCGGGGGGCGGGACGTGCACGATGATTGGACAGTGCGGAGGAGAGGCGATTGCTCATTGGTCCGTGAAGCTGTCGGCTCGGCGGGCGGTGTCCGGACGCAGGTGCCGGGCTGAAGCGAGCGAGTGGAGACGCTTGACGGGCCGGGCCGGGCCGGGCTGGGGACACGGGCCAGGAAGAAGCAGAGAGGCCTGCGCGGCCGCCCGGCCCGGCCGCGGATCAGGTAGGCGCGGCGCAAGGTGTGTGTGTGTGTGTAGTGTGTGGGAGGAGAGCGTCTCCGCTCCGCTTGGCACCGAGTTCGAGGCCCGAGCTTGGTTCGCGGGACCAGGACCAGCAGCAGGACTCGAACCCTCGGCCTGCAGCCGAGGACGCGGGGAACCGCAGTTCCGGTGTCGAGTCTGGCGGGGTGGTTTCCGGGGGTGGTGGTGGTGGTGCTGGTGGGGTGCCTGGCACGCAAGCCTCGGTGTCCCCGCCTGTGAAAAACTGGGTCACCCCATCAACAACCCGCATCTGCAAACAGCGGCCGATTCCGCGGCCAGCGTCCCTCCCGCAGCCCCTCCTCCGAGGAAGTCTGCCTGCACAAGAGTCAATATTGGGACTGTTGCCCCCCAAAAGTGCACCCCATGCAGTCCTCAGGAGGAACCCGGCTGGGTGAGGTACCCCCAGTGGGTTCCTGCCAGATCAGAGAGGTTAGGTCTGCCGCCCAGGGTCACACAGCATGCCAGCAGCCGAGCTGGTGTTAGAACCTGGGCGTGCAAGTGCAGGGGGACGGGGGAGAGAGAAATAAAGCATTAGGCGTGAGCATTTAGTGGGCACCTGCTGTGTACTGGGTACTGACCATGTCCTCCGGCCAAACCATCCCACACAGCCCCACATTTGATAACACAAGCAGAGAGCAGAGTTCGTGTTTATTGCTGCATCGTCTGAGTACCAACGGGCGTTGAAAGTTGGCTGTCCTGACGAAGCCCATTTTATGGATGTGAAAAACCGAGGCCCGGAAAACACAAGCAGCTGCCCCAAGATCCTAAAAGGGATAGGGCAGGGGTGGGCCGGATCAAAGCCCTCAGATGCCCCTTGGCCTGTGGTAAATGGGGCTGGAAAAGAGATTGGGGTACCCTCAGACAAGCCCCCCGATGGGGGCTCTCCCCTCCTCCCTCAGCAGACACCCACTTCTGGAAAGGAGGAAGATTCGAGGCAATGGTGTCAGAGCCGGTGGCTTAGAACTCCAGATGTCCTGAGGTCGGCCCCGCCGACTTGACCAAGTTCCAATCCTGGCTGTGTGACCTCGCGTGGGGGTGGGAGGGCGGCTCCTGTGAGCTGCCAGGCCAGCCTCCCTCTCCTCTCCGCTCTCCTCTCCCCCCCATCACAATAAGGTCCTACAGTTGTGGAGGGGAGGCTGAACTCCATATCCTGGGTCACGTGGGCCTCGGGGCATCCCTGACCCAAGGAGAGGTGTGTGTGTGGATGGATGGGGGGTGGGTCTCAGCCATCTTGAGTCTGAATGCCAGGGCAGACCCAGAGCCGGGAGGCGGCGGCGGTGGGGGGGCACTAGCTGGCAGGTGCTGGCAGGATCCTCCTCCTTGGCTGAGTTGGCTGAGCGGAACACACAGGAAGCCAGATGTGGCTGAGCACCTTGAGGGACAAAAGCCGAGCGTATGGGAGAGAGAAATCAGGGTTGGCTTCTCTGGGGAGGTGACGGTGAAGGGAACAGGCGCCTTCAGCAGCGATTGGAGCTGAGCCGAGAGAGAGAGAGGAACCACACAAATGGATTGCTTAATTTACCAGTCCTGTTTTTTTTTTTTTTTTTTTAAAGCGTTTCATGAGCCTGGCAATAAGTAGGTTTCCCAGGGTGTGTGCGTTTTCCTGATAGTGACATAACAGGAATGAACAATGGGGCGCAGTGGTGCTGCTTCGGACACCCCAGCAGTGAGGAAATACTCAGCTCAGTACCCCGGAGAGGGGCGGAAGGCTGGGTTGCTGCTCTCCTGGGCGCGGGCAGTTCTGGGAACCAGTACTGGGGAGGGACATGGGACCTGGAAGGCTATCTCAACCTTCCAGCCTTCCCCCTGCTGCAGTTTCTGGCATGGCCTGATAATTGTTTATCAGGCCCAGAAGGGCACGGTGGACTTCCGAAGGAGCCGCTCACGGGCCCCCATGGCCAGCCAACAGCGCTGCAGCACAAAATTATCTCCTACCGTTTTCTTTCTTTATTTATTTTTTTTAGATTTATTTATTTTTATTGGGAAGACAGATATACAGAAAGGAGGAGAGACAGAGAGGAAGATCTTCCGTCCGATGGTTCACTCCCCAAGCTGTCGCAACGGCCGGAGCTGAGCCAATCCAAAGCCAGGAGCCTCTTCCGGGTCTCCCACACGCAGGTACAGGGTCCCAAGGCTTTGGGCCGTCCTCCACTGCTTTCCCAGGCCACAGGCAGGGAGCTGGATGGGAAGTGGAGCAGCCGGGATTAGAACCGGTTTCTATATGGAATCTCAGCGCGTACAAGGCGAAGACTTTTGCCACTAGGCTATCGCACCCGGCCCCCACTCCGTTCCTGTCCAGCTCCCTGCTTTTGGGCCTGGGAAAGCAGTGGAGAATGGCAGAAAGCCTTGGGATCCTGCACCCGTGTGGAAGAAGCTTGTGGCTTTAGATCAGCTCAGCTGCAGCTGTTGGGTCCTTTGGGAAGTGAACCTGCGGTGAGAAGGTATTTTTTCTCTTTGTGTCTCCTTCCTCTCCAATAAGATAATAATAATAAAAAAAATAGAATATTATCTATTTGAGAGTGACAGGAGCGAGCTCTTCCATCTTGTTTTTTTTTTTTCATGCCTCAAGGGTTCGTAACAGCTGGATCTTGAGCCAACCCTCTGGCATGGGATGCCTTTCTTGAAGGTGTTGGTTTCAACTCACTGTGCTACGATTCTAACCTGCTGACTTTGAACTCCTCGACCTTGAACCCCTGCTGTGCACCAGGCATGGGCCACGTTGCATGTGAAACCTCATGAACTCTGCTCGGCTCCCCAACCCCATGGCAAAGCCCCATTTTACAGATTAGCAAACCAAGGCCCAGAGAGGGAAGTCCTTGTCCATGGTTCCTAGAGTCTTGTCTCGTCTTTTCCTTTTTCAGATTTATTGATTTCTTTTTGGAAAGTCAGAGTTACGGACAGAAAGAGAGAAAGAAAGATCTTCCATCTGCTGGTTCATTCCCCAAGTGGCCACAACGGCCAGAGCTGAGCTGATCTGAAGCCAGGAGCCAGGAGCTTCTTCCGGGTCTCCCACGCGGGTGCAGGGTCCCAAGGCTTTGGGCCGTCCTCCACTGCTTTCCCAGGCCACAGGCAGGGAGCTGGATGGGAAGTGGGGCTGCCGGGATTAGAACAGGCACCCATATGGGATCCCGGGCGTGCAAGGCAAAGATTTTAGCCACTAGGCTACTGCACCAGGCCTGGTCCCTGGAGTCTTCAGTCTGGTCCACTGGGGCTCTCTCCCCTCACGCTTAACCATCCCTACATCTCCTGCAGGCTGCTGGGACCATGGGCCTCGGGCCCTGAGGATGACGCGGCTCCCTGTGGCCATGACGACAGGCGACTGCTGCCACCTTCCGGGCTCCCTGTGTGACTGTTCCGGCACTTCCTCCTTCTCCAAGGTTGTGGAGGCCACGGGCCTCGGGCCACCGCAGTATGTGGCACAGGTGACCTCGAAGGATGGCCGACTCCTCTCAACCATCATCCGGGCTCTGGATGCGCCAAGGTGAGTGATGGCCGGAGGAGAGAGAGAGAGAAAAGATGCCTGCGCATTAGGGCCGTCCCGTGAACAGGATGTCGCAGTCCCCCAGCAAGAGCCTGCCAGGGACTTGGCCGCCAGGTAGACTGTGAATAAAAATGCAGGCGTACCTTGGTCTACAATCAGGTCATACCTGAGAAACCCGCCTTTAGCAAGAAACATCCTCAGAACGGGAGACATTTAATACCCGGAGCAGATGGAACATTCCAGTATAGCAGTGCGACCCAAGGCCAAGTCTTTTTTTTTTTAACGATTTATTTATTGGAAAGTCAGATCTACAGAGAGGAGGAGAGACAGAGAGGAAGATCTTCCGTCCGATGATTCATTCCCCAAGTGAGCGCAACGGCCGATGCTATGCCGATCCGAAGCCAGGAGCCTCTTCTGGGTCTCCCAAGCGGGTGCAGGGTCCCCAAAGCTCTGGGCCGTCCTCCACTGCTTTCCCAGGCCACAGGCAGGGAGCTGGATGGGAAGTGGAGCTGCCGGGATTAGAACTGGCGTCCATATGGGATCCTGGGGCATTCAAGGCGAGGACTTTAGCCGCTAGGTCACGCTGCCGTGTCCCCAAGGCCAAGTCTTGACTCACCCAACTATGGGGCCTTGCTTGGGGCTGGGGTTCACTATTCTGTCAGAGAGGGGCCTGCGCTGTGTGTGTGTGTGTGTGTGTGTGTGTGTGTGTGATGTGTGGTTTGTGCTCGGGCAGGACCAACATCTGGGGTTAGAATGGTGCTTTGGACATCATGGGGAGAGATGAGCAGCCCAGGTTGGTTCTGCAAGAAGTGTCCGAGTTGTCCCCAGTCCTGGTTGACCCCAGGGGCTCCTTGCTGCAGGGCGTGCATCCCAGCATTCTTGGGGTGGGCGTGCTCAGGCTGAGTCTGGGGGCGTGGCCAGGGTGGGGTCAGGGTGGGCGTGGCCAGGGCGGGGCTGGTGGCTTCCCCCCACCCTCCACCCCAGGAGGCTACTTTTCTGCACCTGCCTTCAGGGTGTAGCTAGGTCCAGGAACCTAGGGGGCAGTTCCTGACGCAGCATCTTCGTCTCTTGGCTCTGCGTGCCCCCCCTGTGCTGGCTGGCCTGGTTCTGCGTAAAGAACCCCCTCCCCCTCCCCGCCCGCTTCTCCACACCCCTCCTTCCCTGAGCGCTGGTCAGTAGCATCTGCAGGCCCAACACGGGGAGTGAGGTTGTAGTGGGTGGGGAAGGAAACTTCCGGTCATGATTGTACCACCCAGGCCCGTCCCTGAGCCGGTCCCTGGAACATCCCGGAGGGGGTGTGGTGCTCTGATTGGTCAGGTCCGAGGTCATCAGGGGTCATCCCTGTTACTCTTGGAACACTGGAAGAGGGGGACGGTTGCCCCCGCCTCCCCCCCCCGGGACAACTAGAAGTGACTTTTTGCATCAAAGGAGGACATTGGACAGATAGGATCAGGAAAGATGCCCAACCTGGTCCCGACAAGGTGTTGCAAGGAGCCTAGGGAGGGAGCATGTTACTCTGCCTGTGGGAGTCCCAAAGGATGGAGAGGATATTTGGAGCTGGGTATTGCAGGCTGACTAGGAGTTTGCCAAGGGAAAAGCATGGGAGAGAGATCCCGTGGTAGGTAGCGAAGTCACCTGCTGTCTGTGTGTCCAGCGACTGTCCCTTCTGCCGGATCTGCCACGAGGGGGCCAACGGGGAGAGCCTGCTGTCCCCTTGCGACTGCACGGGCACGCTGGGTGCCGTGCACCGGAGCTGTCTGGAGAAGTGGCTTTCGTCATCCAACACCAGCTACTGCGAGCTGTGCCACACGGAGTTCGCCGTGGAGAAGCGGCCCAGGTCCCTCACAGAGGTAAGTAACGATGCCCTGTTGCCTCTCCCCAGCCTATACCCCTGCCAACCGGGGAGCCAGAGACCCTGGGGAGGCCGCGGGGGGCGGGGGCAGGGGCAGACGACAGGAGACAGCAATGCTGAAGCCTGGCAGCGCACGTGAAAGCTTCTGGGAGGGCTCCGTGGCCGTGGCCTCGACACAACCCATGAATGGAATGGCTGGAACGAACCAAGCAAAGAGAAACGGAGAGAGTGAACCCGCAGCAGGTGGCCAACTCCAGGTCTTGGGGGCCACTGCGCCCAGGAACTTGGGACTTTAGTCCAAGTGGGACGGTTCGGGGTGGGGTTGGGTCAGAGTGTTAGACGCGGCTGCTCCAGGGGTCCCCTGCTCCAGGGGCACCAGGATTCTCTCTGCTCAGCTTGGCCCAGGGTGACTGAGAACCGCCTGGTGGATGGATGACAGGTGCTGGGCATCCTTGAGGAGGCCGGGGGCAGGGGTGAGGTGGGGGAAGAGGGCAGGGCAGGGCCACTGCAGGGAGCCTGGGGGAAGGATGCCCTTGCATCCCAGAAGAAAAACTCCTCCTTCATCCAGAAGCCCAGCCCTCTAGGGAGAACGGTGGAAGGGAGCCCCAGGCCCTGCTAGCACCCCGTTCCCCCGCCTCGGCTCCGTCCCTGCTCTCCAGCCGCTCAGGCCTCCTGCCACCCACTGCTACACTTTGCCTTGCCCCCCACCCCACCCCACCCCACCCCTGCCTTTGCACCTGCTGCTCCGTAGCCCCGTTCTCCTCCACGTCAGCTTGTCCTGAGTGACTTGCCCTGCCCTCACCCTGTTTGGCTTCAGACACTTCCTGGCGTAGGCCGGAAGTCACGTCATCCAGTGTTGTTGTGTTTCAGGATTTCATGTGTGACGCAAAGTTCTGTGGAGTGGAATTTTCCACGTGTGCGGGTGTAGGACGGCCCGGGCAGAGTCTGAGCTGTCCGGACCGCCGGGTTTTGGGGTTAGGGATCCTCAATCTATAACCGGCTATGGGACTTAGCGTCAGTGGGGCCACCCCTCCGTGCCTGGCTCGGGGAGGCTCAGTGTTGCACAGAAGAAAACCCAAGCTGAAGGGTGCTGCTCCCCCCTTCCCTACAGCCCCACCACCTGTGCGTATACCCCCACCCTGGCAGTGACTGAAGGACCCAGGCCTGGAGGGTGCTCCCCCACTCCCCGCTGCACCCCTGTAGCCCCCTCACCTGCGCCCACCCCTCCCTGCACAGTGACTGAAGGACCCGGTCCTGGAGGGTGCTGCCCCCTCCCCGCTGCTCCTGTGCAGCCCCCCTCACTTGCACCCACCCCTCTTTGCACAGTGGCTGAAGGACCCGGGGCCTGGAGGGTGCTGTCCCCTCCCCGCTGCTCCCCTGCAGCCCCCCTCACCTGTGCCCACCCCTCCCTGCACAGTGGCTAAAGGACCCAGGGCCTGGAGGGTGCTGCTCCCCTCTCCGCTGCTCCCCTGCAGCCCCCCTCACCTGCGCCCACCCCTCCCTGCACAGTGGCTGAAGGACCCAGGGCCTGGAGGGTGCTCCCCTCTCCGCTGCTCCCCTGCAGCCCCCCTCACCTGTGCCCACCCCTCCCTGCACAGTGGCTGAAGGACCCGGGGCCGCGCACGGAGAAGCGGACGCTCTGCTGTGACATGGTGTGTTTCCTGTTCATCACGCCGCTGGCCGCCATCTCAGGCTGGCTGTGCCTACGCGGGGCCCAGGACCACCTGCGCCTGCACAGCCGGCTGGAGGCCGTGGGGCTCATCGCCCTCACCATCGCCCTCTTCACCATCTACGTCCTCTGGACGCTGGTGAGTCATCAGGCACCTGCAGGACAGACCAGTGGCCAGGTCCCTACCAAGGTCAGGGGCGAAGGCAGGGAGGGATTGGTCAGGAACATCGAGGGGACTCACTCAGCGGCCAGGGGCCACCTTCTCCGAGGGTGCAAGGATTTGATTGTGCCTGCTACAATGGCTCAATTAGCTAATCCTATCCCTTTAAGTACCAGGATCCCATCAAGGGTGCCAATTCATGTCCCGGCTGCTCCACTTCCCCTCCAGCTCCCTGCTTGTGACCCGGGAAAACAGCAGAGGATCATTCAAATTCTTGGGACCCTGCACCCGCATGGGAGACCCAGAGGAAGAGGACAGTCCTGGCTCCTGGCTTCAGATCAGCTCAGCTTTGGCTACTGTAGCCACTTAGGGAGTGAACCAGCAGACGGGAGATCTTTCTGTACTCTTTGTAAATTTGATTTTCCAATAAAAAGAAACAAATCTTCAAAAGACAGAAAGGAAGATGGTGGGAGACAGATAAGAAATGCGAGAACACGCAGGTGACGCTAGCCTGGAACATGCCAGTTGAGATGCCCGCCTCTGTCACATGCTGGGGCACTAGCAGCGGCTTCCTGCTCATGTGCCCTCGGGTGGAGGTGATGGCACCAGGCACTGGGGATGGTCTCTACCTGCCAGGGGTGTTCTGCTCGCAGCTTTGGGCCAGCCTCTGCAGAGTAAAGGCAGCGGAGGGAGTTAGGGGGTGGCTCATCCTGTGTTTCTTTTTTTTTTTTTTAAGATTTATCTTATTTTTATTGGAAAGGCGGATATACTTTTTAAAGATTTAAAGGCAGGGGCCTGGCACAGTAACCAGGTGGTTAAAGTCCTTGCTCACACTGGGATCCCATATGAATGCCAGTTCCCGTCCTGGCAGCTCCACCTCCCATCCAGCTCCCTGCTTGTGGCCTGGGAAAGCAGTCGGGGACGGCCTAAAACCCTGGGACCCTGCACCTACGAGGAGGCTCCTGGCTTCAGATTGGCTCACTTTGGCCATTGCGGCAACTTGGGGAGTGAATCAGTGGATGGAAGTTCTTCCTCTGTATGTCTGACTTTCCAATGGAAATAAATAAATCTTAAAGAGGTAAAGACAAAGAGAGAGGGAGAGAGAGTGTGCTAGGACCAATCCAGAGACACGAGCCCCACCTGAGACTCCTGTGTGGGTGGGTGGCAAGGAAGGACCCTCACCTGCCAACCTCCCAGGTCTGTTAACAGGAAGCTGGATGGGAACTGGAGCAGCCAGCACTGGGAAATGCGATGCGGGCATACCACATGGCACTTTAACCCTGGTACATCACACATCTGCCTTTCCCCCCCCCTTTTTCTCTCTGTCTTTCTGTTTTCATTTGATTTGAAAGACAGCAAAACTTGGGCCCGGCACGATGACGCAGTGGTTAAGGTCCTCACCTTGCACGCCCGGGATCCCATAGGGGTACCGGTTCTAATCCTGGCAGCCCCGCTTCCCTTCCAGCTCCCTGCCTGTGGCCTGGGAAAGCAGTGGAGGACGGCCCAAAGCTTTGGGACCCTGCACCCGCGTGGGAGACCTGGAAGAGGCTCCTGGCTTCGGATCGGCATAGCATCGGCCGTTGCGCTCACTTGGGGAGTGAATCATCGGACGGAAGATCTTCCTCTCTGTCTCTCCTCTCTGTCTATCCGCCTTTCCAATAAAAATAAAAATAAATCTTTAAAAAAAAAAAAGAAAGAAAGACAGCAAAATTCACTCCTCCAGTGCCTGCAACAGCCAGGGCCGGGCCAGGTCAAAGCCAGGAGCCTGGGTCTTCATCTAGGTCTCCCACGTGGGTGGTGCTAGGGACTCCAGGGTCAGAGCCATCAGCTCGTTCCTGCCCGCCGCACTGTGCATCAGCGGGAAGCTAGAATCGGAAGAGGGAGCCTGGATTTGCGTGTGGAATCTCTGATACGGGTTGCTGGCATCCTAAGACGGATGCCACATCGCCCCGCTGTCATGTCCCGCTGTTTGGATGACCCTGTGGTCTGTTTACCTCCTGAGGGATAACCCCCCCCAACACCCCACCCCGCCCCGCCGCGGACCTCCTCACCCACCACAGCACTGCTCCTGTACCACAGGTCTCCTTTCGCTACCATTGCCAGCTCTACTCCGAGTGGAGAAGGACCAACCAGAACGTACGCTTGAAGATCCGGGCTGTGGATGGCCCGGAGGGCTCCCAGCACTCTGCGCTGGCCACGGGACTCCTGAAGAAGACTGCTGAGGAGACGCCCGTATGAGGATCTGGCTGGCAAGGGGGCCTGGCTGGCAAGGGGGCCTGGCTGGCAAGGGGACCTGGCTGCCAAGGGACCTGGCTGGCAAGGGGACCTGGCTGTGCACAGAGGCAACAGCTGCTGATGCCCTGGCCCCCTGGAAGGATGGAGACTGCTTGCCCCTTCTCCCACGTCCAGAAAGCTTCTCAGGCCAAGCCGAGCCTCTTCTATGATCCAGTGTGAATATATATATATATATATATATATTTTTAGAGTTTTTTTTTTTTTTTTGCATATTATCTTATATGACCAGGGCAGTTGGATGCCGTCCCGAGCTGTGCTTGGAATCAGCACCCTGAGTCATGCTACGGCCCACACTGGGCACCGTCCTGGCCCAGCAGGTGTGGGCCATGTGTCAGGGGCGTCCTTTTTTGGGGGGCTGGAAGGTTCTAGCAAACTTCTTCAGTTTCCCACGCACCTGGCAGGCTCTCTCCCTTGGCACCCTTCGACTTTATCAATTTGCACTGCATTGCAATACTCCCCTCACAACCCAGAATAAATAAAAGAGATCCTTGCTGGGCAACGTGGACTTGGACATCACGTTTCTGAAGGGGAAGGAAGTAAAAAAAAAAAAAGAGGTTTAAAAAAAATCGGGGACCAACGCTGTAGCTCTGTAGGCTAATCCTCCATCTTCAGGCGCCAGCATCTCATGTGGGCGCCGGTTCTAATCCCGGCAGCCCCACTTCCCATCCAGCTCCCTGCCTGTGGCCTGGGAAAGCAGTGGAGGACGGCCCAAAGCCTTGGGACCCTGCACCCGCGTGGGAGACCCGGAAGAGGCTCCTGGCTCCTGGCTTCGGATGGGCTCAGCTCTGGCCTTTGCAGCTACTTGGGGAGTGAACCAGCGGATGGAATATCTTTCTGTCTCTCCTCTTTGTCAAATCTGCCTTTCCAATAAAACAATTGTTTTTTAAAGAGAGAGTTCTTTCGGGGAGCTCATTGGAAGAAGTCACGAGCTCGTTTTAACGGCAAAGCAAGAAGTTCGCCCAGTTTTTATTTATGCGCGAGGGCCGGTGAGAGTCGGAGCTTCCATCTGGTGATTCGCTCCCCACGAAGCTGCAACAGCCCAGGGTTGGGACAGGGCAAAGCAGGAGCTGGATTTTGGTGTTCCATGTTTGGGTCATCCCTTAGTGCTTCTCGGTGAGGACGAAGCTGGGTCGGATGTGGAGAGAGCCTGGACTCGAACCAGCGTCCTTATGGGATGCCGCCACCCACCGTGGGTGACGTCTTCACGGGCTATGCCAAAACCACAGCCCTTATGACCTCCACTTTAGAGCCAATGCGATGACTGCGGCCCAAGGCGGGGAAGCCTTTTGCCTAAGACCCCCTCGGCCATGGAGGAGGCTGAGCTGGGGGCAAAAGCAGAAGGTGGTGGCGGTGCCCATGAGGGCGCCTGCTGGTTGAGCGCTTTCTCCAAGCTGAGCTCTTGACTGAGGAGGGCTCCTGGCAGCTGCCCACATCTGCTCCTCCAGAGGAACCCCGAAAGGTGGGCTCTGAGAGGGCAGGCGTCTCCTGCTAAGCTTATCTGCAGGTGAGTCCTGAGGGGCGGGGCCTGGCGAGGCGGGCGGGGCTTAGAGAGGTGGGCGGGACGGGCGGGCGGGGCCTCCGGGCGCTGATGGACAGGCGCCAGGCGCCAGGGTCGCGCAGGCGCATTAGGTCAGCTGGCTTTTAAAATTTCAGTTGTGGGTTTTGGGCGGGGCTTGGCGGGGTGGGCGGGGCCTCCCGGGCGCTGATGGACAGGCGCCAGGCGCCAGGGTCGCGCAGGCGCATTTTAGTTATTTGTATGGGGTGTTCAGTGGTCACTTGGTAACTTCCTCACGCAGTCCAGCTGCTGCACCTGCTCGGGCCAGCTCTGCACTCCCCGCCCTAGCCAGGCCAGCGCCAAGTTCAAGTTCAGAACGCGCTGCCCACCCTCCCAGCCCTTCTTCCGCCCGAAAGCCCACCCACAGCTCCCGCTCTGCGCCTGCGCGCGGAGAGGGGGGGCGTGGTCCGAAGCCGGAAGCGGCAGCGACGCGGGAGTCGGGGCGAGCGGCGCGCAGGCGTTTACTGGTCCCGCCGGGTCACGTGAGCGCGCAGGCGCAGCGCCGCGCAGCCCGTTCGCTCACACAAAGGCCAGACGCGGAGAAAATGGCGGCGGGGGTCGAAGCGGCGGCCGAGGTGGCGGCGACGGAGCCCAAGATGGAGGAGGAGAGCGGGACGCCCGGCGTGCCGAGCGGCAACGGGGCTCCGGGACCGAAGAGGTGGGTGTTTCATGACTGCTCCCTGAACCCACGGGGCCTGTTTCCCTTCGCTGCCGCCGGAGGAAGCTGGCCTCTTCCCACCCCGCCGCCTGCGCGGCTCCGGGCTCGGCTTTTTGTTTGTTTGTTTTCTCGCTTAGGGCCTGCCGGGGGGGGGGTGCTGAGTGGGGTGCCTTTCCCTGAGTGCGGTTCCCCATTCTCGTTATTTTATTTTATTTTTTTCCTGCACTCCTCCTGCTTTGCAGCAGGCTGGAGTCCCGGCGGCTCGGCCATTCTGCAAACGCTGCAGGCGTCCGAGGTCGGGTCGGGGGGCGAGGAGGAGGAGATGCGGGCGACCCCAGGGGACTCCCCCCTCCCCACCTATCTCCCACCCCATCTCCTAAAACCCCAGGACCCGGCTCGGGCCGGAGCCTCAGTTTCCCGACTCGTGCAGTGGTGGGGGTGGGGAGGGCCCTGCGCGCGGTCAGGTCCCGGTAAACGGTACCCGGGGGGCAGGGTCGCGAGGGGCGGCTGGCTGGCTGGGTGGGGTTGTCGGTGGGCACGGCGGGGGAGTGGGGGGCAGCTGCTTGCATGGCCCTCGTCCTGCAAGACGGGGTCCCCCCCCCTCCGCCTTCTTCTCGAGCTTTTCCCGTCCCCATCTCCGCCTGCGGTTCTTGGTTTAAAACCCTCTTTCCCCCGCTCCGCACCCTGCCTGATGACAGTCATTAGAGAGCTGCCCTGGCACAGGGGCACGGGTTGCGTTGGCATACACACACACACACACACACACATACACACGTGTTTTTGGCTTTGCATCGTGAACGTGGCACCGCTTCCCCCATCCCCGAGTGCATGGTGTCAATGGCGTGGGTTCCTCGCCCGCGTTGCGCAGCTGCCCCCCTGTCTGTGCCAACCTTCTCCCGTGATTTTTACCTTCGCCACGTTCTCCTGCTGTTTGGATGACTACAGATGTGGAGGGAATTCCAGATTCCGCCATCCCCCCCCCCTCACCCCCCACCCGCCTTCTCCGGGATGGAAAGGAACTAGTGTCGTAGTTACTGAAGCTCAGAAACTCAGAAATCCCGGCTGGAGGATTAGTGAGCCCCAGGACTTGACCGCTGAACCCCGCCCCCCTGCCCCGGCCAGGCCTGGGCTGGGCTGGGCTGGGTTGGCTCTAGCTTCCTGCCCTGCCTTTCCTGGGGAGCCTGGGTGGGTTTCCAGGGGGCCCTTGGGGTATGCCGTGGAGGCGGGATGCAGGGCGACTAGGGCCTGCTGGGTGAGCGACAGGTTACAGCAAAATTGCCACCCTCTGTTTTTACACGGTCACTTCCTGACTCGTTTGACCATTGCCGTGTGAAGGGCCCGAGTTAGGGTTGACGGAGCCCGTGTTGGAGGAACCTGCAGACTGGGCAAAAAGGATGCTTATGGCAGCCCGTGGCACGGGTATCGTTTCTTGTAGGACCAGCGGAAGCACTTGGTTCTGTTAGGGGGAAGTGTTTTTTTTTCTTCTTTTTTAACTTATTTATTTTTTTCATTGGAAAGGCAGATTCGCAGAGAGAAGGACAGAAAAATTGATCTTCCACCTGCTGGTTCACTCCTGAAATGTCCGCCACGGCCAGAGCCGAGCTGATTCAAGGCCAGGAGCCTCTTCTGGGTCTCCCATATGGGTACAAGGTCCCGAAGCCCTGGGCCACCCTCCATCCGCCACTGCTTTCCCAGGCCACGAGCAGGGAACGCAGGCAGAGGTGGAGCAGCCGGGACTCGAACCAGTGCCTGTGTGGGATGCTGGCAGGCTGAGGATTAGCTAGTCGAGCCTTGATGTTGGCCGCTGAAGGAAAGGGCTTTAGAAATCTGTGCAGAAGGAAGACTGATAAATTATACTGTGATAGAAATTGCTAGATTGGGCCCGGCGGCGTGGCCTAGCGGCTAAAGTCCTTGCCTTTATGCGCCGGGATCCCATATGGGCGCCAATTCTAATCCCGGCTGCTCTACTTCCCATCCAGCTCCCTGCCTGTGGCCTGGGAAAGCAGTGGAGGACGGCCCAAAGCCTTGGGACCCTGCACCTGCGCGTGGGAGACCTGGACGAAATTCCTGGCTCCTGGCTTTGGATTGGCGCAGCACCGGTTGTTGTGGTCACTTGGGGAGTGAATCATCGGACAGAAGATCTTCCTCTCTGTGTCTCTCCTCCTCTCTGTAGATCTGACTTTGTAATAAAAATAAATAAATCTTAAAAAAAAACACAATTGCTAGATTGGGAGCATAGAGCTGCTCCTCTTCCCGCACCTGTTGGGGTGGGGATGTCCTGCTCCAGGAGGGCAAGATGCAGTAGCAGGATTGTATTCAAAGCCCCAGGTTCTGCTACAAGCCTGGAGGCCTGTGGGCCTTAGAGAATGACCCAGAGCTTGCCGCTGTCGCGCATGTGCAGGTTGGGCTTGGCTTCAGCCCGCTCCAGCTCTGGCCAGTGTGTTTTAGGAGCGTGAACCAGCAGAGGGAAGACCTCTGTTGCTGTGCTTTTCTTTTTTTTTTTAGGTTTATTTTTTTATTATTTTTTTTTTTTATTGGAAAGGCGGATATACAGAGAGGAGAGACAGAGAGGAAGATCTTCCGTCCGATGATTCACTCCCCAAGTGAGCGCAACAGCCGATGCTATGTCGATCCGAAGCCAGGAGCCTCTTCCGGGTCTCCCACGCGGGTGCAGGGTCCCAAAGCTTTGGGCCGTCCTCCACTGCTTTCCCAGGCCACAAGCAGGGAGCTGGATGGGAAGCGGGGCTGCCGGGATTAGAACCGGTGCCCCTATGAGATCCCGGGCGTGCAAGGCGAGGACCTTAAGCACTGCGCCACCGCGCCAGGCCCTGCTGTGCTTTTCAAAAACAAATAGAGTGAGCCCAGGGATTTAAGAAGGAGAGAGAGAGAGAGAGAGACAGACCGACCGGTGGGCAGTGAGTTCCAAGTTCAGGAGTTTGGGTGGTAGTCCAGCGTTGGAGAAGCGGGAGGGAAAGAGTCACTCAGTTCTGGAGCCGTGTGCACGCCAGGGGCTGTGCGACGGGCCGCCCCGGGCACGCCAGGGGCACGAGGAGCCCAGGGCGGAAGCCTTGCTGCACGCGTTCCCTGCTGGCTTAGAGGAGCCACCGTGTTCGGCCTCAAGATAGCCGATGGAAATCTTGGCACGGCTGCACGCGGTCTGAAGCCAGCTTCTTCTGGATCTCCCACGTGGGTGCAAGGCCCCAAGCCCTGGACCACTTTGCGGCGTTCTCGCAGATGCATTAGCAGCCACTCGGGTCGTAAGTGGGGCAGCTGGGGCCAGAAGCAGTCCCACGAGGACTGCCAGGGCTGTGTGGGTGACTTGCCCCGCGAAGCCACAGCGCTGGCCCGGTGGTTTATGCCTGGCCGCTTTGCATCGGCAGAGTACGGGCTAGCCGTTTGCTTCTCTGCAGTGGCTCTAACTCTTCTTGCTTGTTGGAACTGATGCCTGAGAGAGCAGGAGCGGCTCAGTGTCTCTGAGTCAGAATAGCCTTTAAAATACGGACCTGAAGGCCGATGCTGGGGGCGTGGTGATGAGCACGTTAGCTGTGGCTTCAGATGCAGCTGTTCCGTTCCTCCACGTGCCGTCCAGCCTCGTGTTGGTGCCCCTGGCAGCAGGTGGCCTGTGAGCTGGCACCCCTGCCCCCCTGGCTGGGGGAGACCAGCATGGAGACTGTGGCAGGTCCCTCTGTCTTCCTGCTTGGCTTGGCTTGGCTTGGCTGGAGCTGCTCCGATCTGAGGCCAGGAGCCAGGAGCTTCTTCAGGGTCTCCCAAGCAGGTGCAGGGTCCCAAGACTTTGGGCCGTCCTCCACTGCTTTCCCAGGCCACAGGCAGGGAGCTGGATGGGAAGTGGAGCAGCCGGGATTAGAACCAGCGCCCATATGGGATCCCAGCGCGTTCAAAGCAAGGACTTGATCGATCCACTAGGCCACTGCGCTGGGCCCCATTCTGCCTTTCAAATAACTGAATCTTTTTGGTTTTTTTAGTCTTTGTGTAAAGATGAAAATATTGACGATTTCCTAGAAACCAATGGTATTAAAATGCGTTTCCCTCCGTGAACCCCACGGTGGCCCATGATGTTGATATCATGACCTAAGCCGCTTGAGTTTTAATTAACACTGTCCCGGTCATGTTCCAAGGAGGGGTGAGAGGTGTGTCCCCAGCCAGGTCCTGTTCAGCAGACGTTGGTGCAGAGTGTTCCCAGAGCATCGTGACCCCTGACCCCTGTAAGTTCCCTTTCGTCATCAGCCCACGCAAGTCATCGGGAATTGGAGTGGACTGAATTGTGGGAACCTGAGAGTGGCAGTGGCGGGCACCCCGTGTCTGCCCCCCAGTGGGAAGGGAAGCTTGTGTGTTGTGGTGTAACATATTAAGATTCCTTCTCTGGGACCCAATGCGGTAGCCTAGCGGCTAGAGTCGTTGCTTAGAATGCGCCCGGGATCCCATATGGGCGCCAGTTCTAATCCCGGCTGCTCCACTTGCCATCCAGCTCCCTGCTTGTGGCCTGGGAAAGCAGTGGAGGACGGTCCAAAGCCTTGGGGACCCTGCACCCGCGTGGGAGACCTGGAAGAAGCTCCTGGCTCCTGGCTTCGGATCGGAGCAGCTCCAGCCATTGTAGTCACTCGGGGAGTGAATCATCAGACAGAAAATCTTCCTCTCTCTGTCTCTCCTCCTCTCTGTATATCTGACTTTGTAATAAAGATAAATCTCTAAAAAAATAAATTTGTTCCCTGGAATCCCACCTGGCAGCCCTGGGACATTGAGTCTCCAGTCTGGAGACCAAGGGACTTTGGAAACTACAAACAATTGCCAAATTTGACACAAAGGGAAAGTCAAAGAAATCTGCTGTTTGAATGTAATTACCTGTTTCTCAGGAGAGGAAGAGAAGCAGGTTTTAAAGCACGCGTCAGCCGTTTCAATCAGGGTCGTTTTATCAGTGGTTAATTTTACTGTCCTGGCTTTTGATTGGCGGGGGGGCCGGGGCGGGCCGTGGATCCCCAACTCTGCCGCTGTCTGTCTTTTGGGTGGCACGTGTTCTCGGAGCGGGCAGGACCCCGCCAGGGGAAGTGCGGGCTCGGCCCCTGGCCAGGAGGCCACTGCTCTCCCAGCTGCTCCTCCTCGGGTCCCATTGTACTTCCTTGTTGCCCGGGTTGAATTTGAGACTCGACCCACATACGTGGGCGTCCAAGCTGGTGTCTGGTGCTGTGGGCCTGTGCGTTTTCTTCTTTAAAACCAGGACCCATCCTCCGGGTCTCCCACGCGGGTGCAGGGTCCCAAGGCTTCGGGCCGTCCTCCACTGCTTTCCCAGGCCGCAGGCAGGGAGCTGGATGGGAAGTGGAGCAGCCGGGACACGAACCGGTGCCCCTTTGGGATTCCGGTGCATGCAAGGTTCCTGGCTTCAGATCGGCTCTGCTCTGGCCATTGCAGCCACTTGCAGAGCGAACCAGCAGGTGGAAGGTGTTTCTCTCCGTCTCTCCTCCTCCTCTCTGTATAAATACATTGCATTTCCATTAGAAATAAGTATTTTAAAAAAAAAGAGTAAAAGGAATGGTGTTTTTATCTGTAAAGCTGGCATTGATTGGGCCCAGCCCGTGTTCCATTCCCCTTTGTTTCCCTGCTTCTGTCTCGGGCTGAGCGCGCCTTAGGCCTCCAGTGGGCCTCGTGCCCCTCTGCGTCACAGACGGGGTCCGCGTGTCCCATCCGGGGTGCTCGGGGCTGGGAGGAGCGCTTGGCCGGGGCGCCCCGCAAACGGCCTCCCGACTTTGCTGCCGTGTTGACGCGCGGACGCTCTGCCCCTTGTCTCGAATGCAGCGAAGGCGAGCGACCGGCGGCTGCGAACGAGAAGAGGAAGGAGAAACCCATGAGGAGGGGAGGCAACCGCTTCGAGCCGTACGGCAACCCCTCCAGGAGATACCGAGCCTTCATCACCAACATCCCTTTCGACGTGAAGTGGCAGTCCCTCAAAGACCTGGTGAAAGAAAAAGGTAATGGCTCCGGGTGGCCGAGTCGGGCGAGGTGGCCGTGTCGTCTCTTCCGTTGGCCGAGCCCCTGGTCACCTGGCGGTGGAAAGCTGTTCCCCGGGAAGGCCTCCGTCCCGAGCCCCTCTGCCCAGGCCAGCTCTGTGACGGCGCCCCTGTGTGTCGTGCGGGGTGGTCGCGTGGGCCTTTGGCCTGCCATGATCGCGCTGCATCCCGTGATTGATAAGAAGCTTGTGAGCAGGCTCGAGGAGAGACCCCACCGCCCCCCACTGCCCACCCAAGGAAACTCAGTAAATTCTTCACCCTCCATGGGGAGGGTGTTCTGCTTTCTCCCTTCCTCCTCTTCAAAAATGGAGTAAGGCAAGACCAGGCTTTGCTTCTAGCAGGAAGGTGGTTTTTAAATGAAAACGTGGTAGCTGGACCACGTGCTGCTCGGATGCCCAGCGCTAAAACGTGGGCTGGTACACATAAGCTGCGAGACCTCCTCCTCCCCTTCCGGGAGATACAGAGAGAGCTCAGAACGAGGTGTCTGCTCTGTAACGGGGTGCCTTAAGGTGGCACATTGTCACGGCCCGGAACCCCCTACCCAGCAGCCCAGGACAGGGCGAGCTCCGCTGAACCAGGAGAGCCGGGGTACCACCCAGCGCGCCTCATGCGCCCCACGGGGGTCCTCTCCTTCACTGCCCTCACTCCTGCTCTCCTGTGTCTGTCTCTCTCTCTCTCTCTCTCTCTCTCTCTCTCTCTCTCTCCTGACTTCATGTCCCCGCTGCTGCTGGCTCTCAAGGCCTTGGGCTAGACCAAGCTGTAGATGGCCCAATACCTTGCCCTCCTGCCTTGGCTGGCAAGGGGGGTGCGGCGGGAGTCCCGTGCCCCTTCCCTGGCATCTGTGAGGGACTGACAAGACAGGCTTTGGTTTCTGGAACACTCAGGCGAGGAGCGATGTGGGCTTTGATTTGTGAAGCGACTCCCATTTCAGGGCCCGAGCTGCCGCTTGGGCCGGCCGGTGGGGTGCGTGTGCTGGTGCTGCCCGCACGGGGCGTGGCGGGGAGAGGGGGTGGTCCTTGAGGTGATGGATGGATGGCCAGAAGCACGAGGCACCGCGCACCCCTCCGTCTTGAGTCACGGGGGTGTGGTCCTTGTCCAGGTAACACGGCCGGCCGCGAGGTTGCTGGGCCTGCCTTCACGGCCTGGGGCTGCTGGGGCAGGAGTGCCGTGTCTCGGGGTGTGCAGGGCGCTGCCCGGGGCCGCGCAGACGCAGAGGTCCTGGTCCTTGGGCCTGCTGCTTCCTGACAGCTTAGCATCTCTTCCGGTGTGCTGTCGGGTCGCGTGCGGATCCGCATTCGAGGTTGCCCCCCCCACAGCTTGGTGTTCTTGGTGATGTGGCTATTTCCATAGTTCCTAAGGTAACGGTAGTTCCAAGCACCAGGGATGCGGTGGCTTTGACAGCGCACTTGTTAGAATCCTGTAGGTGATGGCAGCCCCCCCACCCCCCTTTTTGTCCCCTTCCCTAGCTGTGTGTGAAGCAGTTGTGGGATGTCAGGGGTCCAGTAGGTGGCCCTGGCTGGGCAGCCCGTGGGTCAGGCGGCTCTGGGGCGTTCCTGCTCGCAGCAGCAGCAGCAGCCAGGGTGTTTCGCTGCATATACAAGCGGCTCACCTCCGTGCACTCTCCTGGCTAAGTGTGGGGCCAGCCTGATGGTGTGTCCGGCCCCCCTGCACACTGCTCCGAACGGCCGGGCGCAGCCCCTGCTGTCTGGTTTTTTTTTTTTTTTTGGTGGTGTCATTTAGAATTACAGATGTGCAGGAAATCTGTCATTTAAAGAAAATACAGTTTTTGCAGTGTTCTTGTTTTGAACCCCCCCCCCCCCCCCCGTAACTGGCCAGTCACTCTTCCGTTCATTGAAATCACCAGCAGTGGAGGACCGTGGGCCGAGTGGTTCATGAGCGGGGTAGCAAATGTGCTTTTTTTTTTTTTTAAAGATTTATTTTTATTATTTTTTTATTGGAAAGGCGGATATACAGAGAGGAGAGTCAGAGAGGAAGATCTTCCGTCCAATGATTCACTCCCCAAGTGAGCGCAACGGCCGATCCTATGTTGATCCGAAGCCAGGAGCCTCTTCCGGGTCTCCCACGCAGGTGCAGGGTCCCAAAGCTTTGGGCCATCCTTCACTGCTTTCCCAGGCCACAGGCAGGGAGCTGGAAGGGAAGTGGAGCAGCCGGGATTAGAACCGGTGCCCATATGGGATCCCGGGCGTGCAAGGCGAGGACCTTAACCACTGCGCCACCGCGCCGGGCCCGCAAATGTGCTTTTTAATGGTCATGTGAAAGGACGTGAAGTCCATAAGATAATAATTTGCTGTGTTTATATGCACATGACTCTTGATGAAGTATTCTTTTTTGTTACGAGGCTTAAAGAATGCATTTTTATTCGTGTCTTAGTAGGCCAAAAAAAAAATAAGTGTAAAATCGGAACTCTTGAGCTCTGCCGCACAGATTTAGTTTGTTGTTGTGTTGTGTTGTGTTTTGTTTGCAGGGGGAAAAAAAGGTAGTAGCCGGCACTTGACACCCTAAAATATTAGTCCCCAAATAAGGGTGATGGCCACTGCGGCAGAGAAGGCTGCTGGGGTCCTGCAGGCACGGGGGAGACCGAGCGCCCACTGTGCCAGCTGCAGTGGCTGGCTGCCGGCCCTCAGGCCCCGGGCAGCTTTGAGGGGGCAGAGCGTGGCTCCGTGGTGCTCCCCCCACCCCGCCACGGCCCCCATGCCCTGGGTGGACAGGCGCTGCTCTCCTGAGCATTTGGGAACTGTTACTCATCAGACACGCGAACTAACGGGTCCCTCGAGCGTGCCATTCCCGTGCTGGGATGCGGTGTTGCTCATTTAAAGGGGGAGCTGATGGAGAGCTTTGTTTCGTAGTGTGGGCAGCCCAGCTGCTGTTGGGCACAGCCCACTCACAGAGCAGCTGCCCTTCCCCTACCCCCCCGGCCCCCGTCCTGGTCCTGATGGAGCACGGAGGAGCAGGTCTCCATGGCCCTTCCCCACTCCCCCCTGCCCTGGTCCTGATGGAGCACGGAGGAGCAGGTCTCCATGGCCCTTCCCCACTCCCCCCTGCCCTGGTCCTGATGGAGCACGGAGGAGCAGGTCTCCATGGCCCTTCCCCACTCCCCCCTGCCCTGGTCCTGATGGAGCACGGAGGAGGAGCAGGTCTCCATGGCCCTTCCCCACTCCCCCCTGCCCTGGTCCTGATGGAGCACGGAGGAGGAGCAGGTCTCCATGGCCCTTCCCCACTCCCCCCTGCCCTGGTCCTGATGGAGCACGGAGGAGGACTGCATGGCCCTTGCTTTTACGTGGAAGAGGCATACCGAACAAGCAGCTGCTGTGAACATGGAAGACTGGCTGGATTGGAGGGAAAGATAAAATGGCAGATGTGAAATTGCCAGACCAGATTTGAAGTGACCTCTAACGGTTGATCATGTGGCAGAGATGTGTGATCCTAAGAACCTGGGCACGGGGCAGTTTGCTGGGGACCCCAGGAGGTGTGAGGCCCCTTGAGTAGCGTTGTGCTGTGTTAGCTTGAGATGCTGCGGTCCTGTGGCCTGGGGGGGACCGTCCCTCTGGGCCGCATCCTCGACCAGGGGCGGCTGGAAGCGAGTGCACAGGGAGCCCAGGGTGAGGACGCAAGGAAGGTCAGGGCTCTCTAGGTCTGCTCAAATCAGTCCCAAGGTTAGCAGCAGTGTTAACCCGAGCACGGTGGTCCTTCGGCTAGGGCTCAGTGTGTCATTTGAAGGCCCCAGAGGCTGCGTGGCCAGCAGGAAGCCAGCCCCCCTCCCCCTCTCCCCCTCCCTTAGATGGGCACCTTGGGGTATGCAGCCAGGAGAGGCAATGCCTCCTTAGCCCACCCGTCCTGGCTTTGTTAAGACATCCACTGGCTTTGGAAAGTGTTGAGGTGGTAGAACTTTCATATGTGAATTTTTTTCCCCCCCCCCCAAGATTTGTTGTTTATTTGAAAGCTCAACACACACACACACACACACACACCCCATCACACATCTTCCATCTGCTGGTTTGCTTCCTAAATAGTCACAGCTCGCAGGGTTATGACAAGCTGAAGCCAGGAGCTGCTTCCCAGGCTCGCACGAGGGGGCAGGGGCCCAGGCAGCTGGCTTGGTCCTCTGCTCTGTGTGTGTATGGTGGGGGGAGGTTGGGGGGTGTTTCAGGCGTATTAGCAGGGAGCTGGATCCGAAGTGGAGCAGGCGGAACTGGACCTGGTGTTCCCCGCCAGCGCCTGGAGGCTCGGCTGCAGCGAGCCTGTGGGAGAGCCACTGTGGAGCGGCCACACTCGTGCTCTGCCGTGGACCGGGAGACGGGGGTGACTGGGCAGCTCTCCTCACTGGTCCCGCTGCCAAGTTTACCATGTTTCGAGTCGTCTTTTCTATTTTCCCGATTGTTAAGTGTGCCTGCCTTCTAGAACCGGTAAGAGGTGAAAGACGCAGCATCACGCCGTGCCCTCCCGCCACCGTTACAGGCTTCAAGCACGTAGGAGCCCTCGGGAGAGCACAGCTCCGTTGAGGGCGCTGTGTCCGTGTGTGTCAGACTGGAAGAATACATGGTAGCGCAGAGGTGGTGGTTGTGACACAGTTTGTTCCAGGGTGTTCCAGACCACACACGGTCTTGTCCGTCTCGCTTGTCCATCGTGACCGTCAGTGGTGGTGAACGCTGCTTGGGGACGCCACTGCCATGAACGTGGGTGGTGACATTCGGTGTTAACGGTCTCCAAGCCTCTCTCTGGCCTTCCATCCCAGTATTTTCCTGTTGCCAGCTGCCGTGGGGTTTGTCTTAGCAGCTTCCTCTTGGGACTCCACGGGTTCCATTGCAGCGTAGAAGGGGCAGCCAGCGAGCGGGCACTTGCCAGTTCCTTGGCGGAGGCTGGTGCTGTTGGCAGACTGTCGCCCATGCCAGCTCTGATCGGCTCGGGCTCGTTTGTGGAAAGTGACCAGGCTAGTTGGTTGACAACGTTTTTTCTTTCAGTCTTGCTGCTGGGTGTGCGGATGGCAGAGCTGGGGCACCTCTCCGCGCTCCGCTTCCTGTCGGGGAGTGGCCCGCAGCAGCTGGGGAGCTGCGGGTGCAGAGGGGAGCGTGGCGGATTGGTGCGGAGGCCTGGGGGAGCGGGGGACAGCACGCCTCACGCCGGAGCAGGCAGCCTCTCGGAGCAAGGAAGAAGGGCCATTTTTATAAACGGGGTTTCTGGTGCGAGAGACTGCCTTTGGGTGCCAGCGCTGGCCTGCTCCGTGGAAAAGCACTCCGTTTCGCAACCAGGTATCTCATGAAAATGACTTATGGACAAAAAAAAAAGCTCGGTTTGGATTTGTTCTCTAGGTTGCAAGAACAGCTTTCTGCTTGAAGTACCTTGCTGGACACGGCTTAGACACCCCCCCCCCCCCAGTGTTGGTGTCTTGACACCGTAGCGTAGTTCATCTGTTCTCAGATATTAGGGCTGTCACTAGGTGGCGAGGTCGTCCATCGGGGGGTCTCTTGTCAACCTCGGTGGTACCAGACATGTTCATCGGATTGGAGGCAAGGACTGGAGGTCCTTCAGTGGCTGCTGCTGTTGAAAATGGCCCCCCCCCCCCCCCCCCGAGTGCGGCCTTGGCGACTTGGCTTCTGTGTCCCTCCCCGTCCCACCCCTACCGGAGACCGCACCCCAAGGCTGAGGCCGCGGCAGCCCTCCCCGCTGTGCAGGGGTTGGTTCTGGAACGCCCCGGCAAGGGCGAGAAGGCAGGGCTGTAGACTGCCATGCACCGGGGGAGGGGGCCCCTCTGGCCCGCAGCCCTGTGCCGACCCTGCGATGTCCTTGAGCATGGCCGTTGGATTTGTGAAACGAGCTCGGTAGCCTTTTCCTTTTTCACACAAGCCTTTCCTTGCTGAATTAATCTAGAATTGTTCCGGTTGACGTTCAAGTCCGGGCGGAGGAGTTGGACATGGGCAGGGCTCGCCAAGGCCCCAAGTGGGGGGATTTTCTCCTTGGACTGCTAAAGCTCTCCTGAACCAGCGGAGGCGTTAATGTGGCCCGAGTGGTCCTGGAGGGGGAAAAAAAAAAAAAAGAAAGAAAGGAAAAGGACACCCGTGCAAATTGTAGCCCTTGATGGACTTGTGCAGGCTTTAAAGCTTTCTGAGGGTCTGTGTTCTGGCGCCATGTTCAAGTTCAGCAGCCACTGTGGTGGTGGTCTTGGTGGAGTCTGACATCGTGTCATGGTGGTCATGAGCTGGCAATCCAAATCTCAAGGAAAATCTGCGGGCACTTCAGCAGCGCCTTGGTTCCCTTCCTTTGGAGCAGACAGAACGCTCGCGTGGATTTGGACTGCTTCGCGCAGCCGGGACCCTGAAATTGAACTTGTCCGATTCTGGAGAGGTTAGGGAAGCGGCGAGAACACGGCTGGCCGGCCGCCCCCGCTTTTGTTGCTGTTCAGATTCCCCTGCCGCCTCCGTGCGCAGGGCAGGAAGCGCCTGTTCGCTTTCAAATGGGGGGGGGGGCGTGCATCTCGAGATGGAGACGATGCCATTGAATGGAGCGTGGCGCCCCACGAGGCTGACCCCGTCCCGTCCTCCCTGCGGCCTCCTTTGCGTGCAGCGTGTCTGGGCTCCAGCCCGCTCACCTCCCAGGCCCACTTTGAAGGGATCAGCTCGGAGCGCTCGGCTCCCTGCGTGCGCGTGCCCCCCGCGTGCGTGGGTGCAGCAGCAGCGAGGCCTGTGCACGCTGCCCCCCTCCCCCCCCATCGTCCCCCTCCCAGGCCGTGCTTGGCAGACTGGTTTCCTGGAGATTTGGATTGCCTCGAGTCATGCAGGAAGGAGCCTTCCGGACAGGGGAGAGGCTCTGGAACGGTGTGGAAGCAGCTTGTGTGTGTGGTGGGAGGAAGACCGAGACCTGTGGCCACGGAGCTCTCTCACCTGCTTTAGCGCACAGCTGTCATGCCTAGTCGGCCGGCTTAGGGAATATGGAGTGTTCCTGGGCTTGTTTAGAAAGGCAGAGGCTCCATACACGGTTGCTGACGATTGTTCTAAATTGCCATTGTTTTCTTGGCTTTTCTCCCTTGGTGTATGTGTCGTCTGGAAACTGATTTGTAGTTGGTGAGGTAACGTACGTGGAGCTCTTAATGGACGCGGAAGGAAAGTCAAGGGTAAGTGTCTTGAGAGAACTTCTCCTGTGGATTTTCCTACTTGCCACAAATGTTTACCGTGCCTCAGGAAGGCGGCCAGAGCGCTCCCGTTCCAGTCCAGTCGCTGTGTCTGATTGTGGCCAACGGTCGGCGGGAGGGGGTTTGGCAGCGGGAGGCCCGCTTTTCCCAACGGCTGGGCAAAGAGCTGGTCGGGAGTCTGTTGGGATGCCCAATTTGGACAACTGGGAACCAACAGGAGCATTGCGTTTTTTTGTTAACAGAGGAATTTGGCTGTGCGTGAGTCATGCATGGAATCTTAGCGGTGGTAGACTCAGCGTAAAACGTGTGTTCTCGTCTAGACAATGTCACTCGTGGTGGTTCGCTGAATTTGAAAGTTGTGCGAAGCAAAGCTGCTGCAGAGTTGCCCTTGTGCCCTTGTAAATTGTAAACCGAGCGTTCCAAAGCCGAACGCTTCCCCCTCCCCCAAAAGATTGGCCTCGTAGGTTCAGAGCAGTCAGGAGGGCGAGCGTTAAGTTGCGGAAGGCATGGCTCTCAGAGGCGCATGCTCAGGAGCTGATGGAGTCCCGAGGGCAGCGGAGCCGCAGTTGTGTGTGATTTCCTGGAGACCCCGAGTTGCAGTCTGCTCCTGCTGGCGTCAGCTGTAGGGCAGGGCTGGCCGCGTGCAGCGGGCCAGAGGAGGGCCAGGCGGGGCACCTCTCTCAGCCGCCCCTTAGAAGGGATGACTGTGCAAAAACCTGGAGACATGAATCGTAATTTGGATTTGTTGGCACGGCCATCACTGGTACTTACTTTTTTCTTTTCTTTTTTTTTTTTTTTTCCCTCCCGCACCTCCTTCCATGCTCTTCTGCCTGGCCTGTGGCTCCCTCCCCGCCGGAAGGGCTGTGCGTAAGTATCTCCCAAGTTCCTTGGTGGCATTGGAGCCTTGGGGGGGCGCATGGGACTGTTCTCACCCTTGTCCCCCTTTGACTCTCCGTAGTGTTGTGGAGTTCAAGCTGGAAGAGAGTATGAAAAAAGCCGCCGAAGTCCTGAACAAGCATAGTCTGAGCGGACGGCCGCTGAAGGTCAAAGAAGTAAGCTGGGGGCTCCCCCGGGCACCGCGCCCCACCGTCCCCCCCCCTCCCCGTGCCCCTGCTGCTTGGTTGATTCGTTGGTTGAAAGGCAGAGCCAGAGCGCGGAGAGAGCTGCTGGTCCACTCGCCTCATCTCTGCCAGGAGCCAGGAGCTCCCATCCCTGGCCGGCCCATGTGGGCTTCCCTGGTACAGGAGCAGGGCGCTGGGTCAGCGTGGTGAGGACGGTCCCGTGACAGGGTGCGGCTTTAAGCTGCCTTGTGCGACGCAGGACCTTTCGTGGTTCCCGCTGACAGTGAGGACCAGACGCTGCGGGTCCTGGCTGTGTGTCCGCAGATTCGAGCAGCCCCGGGGGCAAGGACCCTTAGGCCTGGGGGCACTGGGACAGAGCCCGTGGTTTGAGTTTGTGTGAAGATTCATCTTTGGAAGGCAGTCCGGCATAGAGAGAGGGAACAGAAAGATCTCCCATTGGCTGGTTTTCTTCCCAAATGGCTGCCAGTGGCTGATTTCAGGTTTCCTGTGTGGGCGCAGGGGCTCAAGTGATTGGGACATCGTTTGCCCCTTTTCCCGGGCGCACTCGGAGGGAGCTGGGATAGAGGGGGGAACAGCTGGGACTGTGAACCGGTGTCCATTTGGGACGCTGACACCTGGAGGTAGAGGCTTAACCTCCTAGGCCACAGCGCCGGCCCCGGAACTGGGGGACTGCACAGTTGTGTCCAGGCCCCTCTCTGCTGCATCATCGTTTTGTAATGAAAAAGGTTTCTCTTGGTTTGCTGGGAGACGGAGAGGGAGAGATCCAGAAAAAGCCTCTGCCCCCTCGTTCGGTCCCCCAGTGCCTGCCGGGGCCGGGCCAGGCTGGGAGGGGGTGCCAGGCACTCAGTCCGTAGCTTCTCGCTGGCGGCAGGGGCCCCGAGTTGTTGAGCCCTCGTCCGCTGCCCCCCTCCCGGGCGCTGCGTTAGCAGGAAGCTGGAGTCAGAAGCTGGAGCCCAGAGTGGAAGCCAGGTACTCTGCTGTGGGCCGTGGGTGTCCTGGCCGCCAGACGGGATGCCCCACCCCGGGGTGCGGGGTGGTGTGGGGTGAGTTTGTTTTTGCTCAAATCCTCTCGCATCTGATCTGAGCCAAATCTCTTTGTCTCCTCCTTGCATGGGGAGAGGGTGTCTGCCGGGGGCGGGTGCAGTGATGGGGTGACCTGTGACCTCTTTCTGCCCCCTCTTTTTTGGGGAGGAAGCTGACTAGGCTGAGCACTCGGAGAGGAGACCCCCTCGCCCCCCGCCCCCGCGCCCCCGAGGTTGGCCAGTGACAGGGCAGGGATGGCCCAAGCTGTGTTGCGGCCGAGCTCCATGCCACTGTTCCCGTGCTGTTGCCCTGCTCCGAGCTGTCTGCACGAGGCCAGCACCTAACGCGCTTGGAGCAGCGGGGGCCCCGGGGGCACCTAGAACTGTGGAAGAGTCTGGAAGAGTCCAACTCTGGAAGGGTCGTTGGTGGGCTTTGTAGAAATGACCCCAGCCCGTTGAGTTCTGCCAGAGCTGGGGAAGTTGCACCGGAGGACAGCCGGTGGGCTTCTCTCACTGATGGAGCTGAGCGCGTGAGCAGCACCGCGTTTTCCGCGCTCCTTTCTCCCCTCCTCCCTCACTGGGGTGCTTCTGAGTCAGTTCGGTTCATTCTCTCTCTCTCTCTCTTTCTCTCGCTGCCGCCACGTTGGTGACAAGCTTTCGGCACAGTCGCTCACAGTCCGGGGCTTGGAGGCCAGTGAGGGTTAGCAAGCATGTGTTAGGTGCCCGCCCCTGGCTCAGTTAAATGTAACGGTTCTGTGCTTGTTCTAGGACCCTGATGGTGAACATGCCAGGAGAGCAATGCAAAAGGTGATGGCTACGACTGGTGGGATGGGTATGGGACCTGGTGGCCCAGGAGTGATTCCTATCCCACCCAGTATCCTAAATAATCCCAACATCCCAAATGAGATTATCCATGCATTGCAGGCTGGAAGACTTGGAAGCACAGTATTTGTAGCAAATGTAAGTAACTGGAAACACGGCCGGTGGTAGGAATTGAGCACCCGAAAGGGGGTCTTGTCAGAGAGGACCGTACTGCCGATGGAGAGGAGGGCTTCCTCGGAGGGCCCGCGGTGGTCCTGATGGCCTCGAGAGTCAGCCTTGGGCGGCCTTGCTTGGCGGGTGTGAGCCTGCGTAGTCGGCTGAGCCCCTGTTCTCGGGGATCTGGCTCGCACAGTCGGGGTGCAGGGAAGCCGGGCCGGGCCAGAGAGCTGCTTCCCTGGGCGTGTGAGTGAGGGGGAATGCACACTGCCTCCCCAGGGAGTGCGTTGTAGAAGAGAGGGGTGTGTGAGTGAGGGAGAGAGAGAGAGAGAGGGGTAAACGCCCAGCGGAGAAGCCTGCTGATGCCTGGGAAGTCCCAGTGCTGTGAAGTGCAAGGAGAGGCCGGGGCAGTACAAAGTGGCAGTGGTGGCAGTGGTGGCAGGTGACTGGGTCCTGTTTGAGAAGCTCTGCAGTTGATTGGCGTTTGTGCCCATGTCCCCTAAGGTTCGTTTCTGACCGGAGCCTCTCCGACTCACGTGTGTTAAACTGCCTGACGTTGTCTGGTCACATGTTTACGTGATGGTGTGTCTCTCCCCCTCACCCCTGCTCCCGTGCCCCCCCTTCTCTCCATCAGCTGGATTATAAAGTTGGCTGGAAGAAACTGAAGGAGGTGTTTAGCATGGCTGGTGTGGTGGTCCGAGCGGACATTCTGGAGGACAAAGATGGAAAAAGTCGTGGCATAGGCACTGTGACTTTTGAACAGTCGATCGAGGCCGTGCAAGCCATCTGTATCCTTCTCAGGGGTCCCCTCGGGGTGCACAGTGGTCCCCGAGCGCTGTCTGTGAGTGGCAGGTGTGTGTGAGCGAGAGGTGACCGGGCGGCGGCCTCTCTCTCTCTCTCTCTCTCTCTCTCTCTCTCTCTCTCTGCTCCGAGGGGGCATGTCGCTGTGGGCTCCGGAGGTTCACGCAGCTACACTGCGTACAGTAAAGGCTGGGGCAGAATGTGTGCACATGCGCCCGGCGGTGAAGCTTTCCAGAGAGTTGTGACCGGAGGGAGATGGGCCTGCTGAGCCCGCGTGGTCCCGGAGTGGAGAGTCCTTCAGCTTGGGGGGGCCCCCAGTGCTGGGGAGAGCGCTGAGTACCCCGCGTGGCTGGGACACCCAGCTCATGGGGCACATGAGCACCCTGCCCCTGCTCAGGAGGGTAGGGTGGATGGGACACCCAGCTCCTTGGGCACCCGAGCACCCTGCCCCTGCTCAGGAGGGTGGATGGGACACCCAGCTCATGGGGCACAGGAGCACCCTGCCCATGCTCAGGAGGGTGGATGGGATACCCAGCTGCAGACTGTGCGGCCTGTGGGCGGTGGAAGGCCTTGGAAGGGCCTGGGCTGACCCTGCAGGCAACTAACTACAGGTGTGACTCTGGGTTCAACAGATCTGTTCCAGGCTGTATTTTTTTTTTTTTTTTTTTTTTTGAGAAACAGGTTACTGAGCCAAGAACAGAGAGATCCTCTGTCTGCTGGCCTGTCCCTCAGACAGCCATCCACAGCAGACAGAGCTGGGGCAGTGCAGGAGCCAGGGGCTTCCTCTGGCTCTCCCTGAGCGCAGGAGCCCCAGAGAGCTGAGAGCCCCCCTCCACTGCTTTCCCAGGGCATGGCTCAGCACCCACATGTGGGATGCTAGGGCCACAGCCCGCTATGCCCTGGTACTGGGCCACAAATGATGTACCAAGGGTCCAGATGGCCCCCGGCCGCCCGCCGGGCACTGGTAGCCGTGGGAATGCTGCTTGACCTCCCCGGTTTCTCTGCCTCCCTCTTGCTCCTCGTCCCTTGTTTTCTCTCACTGCGCATGTTTTGATTGCAAGAAGTATAGCCTTAATTATGATATCAGCTATGTTTAATGGCCAGCTGCTCTTTGATAGACCGATGCACGTCAAAATGGTAAGTTTGCTAGGGTCCCTCTTTGCGTGGTGTACTCGGGCCTCATGGGAGCGTGCGTGTGACCAGAAGTGTGCACTGAGCACGGGGGCTGGCACCTTCCTGTACGAGTTAGTGTGTCGAGCCTGTTGGAGACCGAAATCCCCCGTGGCTGCTGCCAACGGGGGTGCTGGAGGCAGTGCCACGTGACGGCTCCAGCCAGCCCGCCCCTAGGAAGTCTTGGGCTCCGTTTTCTCAGTGTCACGACATAGCCATCAGCCCTGCCACGCTGCAGAGAACAGCCCACGCACATGACTAAAACACGCTGGGGACGGTCCAGCTAGGACGCAGCCCTCCAAGAGACGTCTTGCTTTAAGCATTCCGCTCGGCGTGTTGCATGTGTGCTGGGCGCGCACGAGCGCAAAGGAGCCTGGGAGCATCTCCTGCGGCCTTGCAGCTGTGCCCCCCACCCCCTCCCGAGCTGGAGGCACGGGAATGCTTTGTCTCTGCCCTTCACCTTGGCCCCAGCGTGCTGCTGGGCTGTGGGGCGAGCGTCTGCGTAACCCGGACCCGTGTTGCGGGGGGTGCGTGTTGCATCTTTCACCGTTGACCCCAGGGCCGCGGTGGATACCAAGATGTTTGTTCTTTGTCTTACAGGACGAGCGGGCCTTGCCAAAGGGAGATTTCTTCCCTCCGGAGCGACCACAGCAGCTGCCCCGTAAGTGTCGCGATGCTTGTGGCTGAGGGTTTGCATTGAGTGGAGTTACCCAAAACAAAACCAGGGACGAGTTGTACTTGTTACTATATCCGGGTGAGCTGCAGTCCCCTTGGCCAGTTTTCATTCATTTATTTATTTACTTACTTACTTATTAGAGATTTATTTTTATTTTATTAGAAAGTCAGATATACAGAGAGGAGGAAAGACAGAGAGGAAGATCTTCCGTCCGCCGGTTCACTCCCCCAAGTGAGCGCAAGAGCTAGAGATGAGCCAATTCGAAGCCAGGAGCTTCTTCCGGGTCTCCCATGCGGGTGCAGGGTCCCAAGGCTTTGGGCCGTCCTCCACTGCTTTCCCAGGCCACAGGCAGGGAGCTGGATGGAGGAAGTGGGGCTGCCGGGACACCCACTGGCTAGCGCCGGGCCCAGCCCTTGACCAGTTTCTGTTTGGTAGATGTTACAGGGTGAGAAATGAGCAGAGGAACTGTCTCTCTCCCTCTTCCTGTATCTTGGCCCTGCAAGTAAATGCATTTTCCCCCACGGGTGTATTCATGTGTTTATTTGAGAGAGCTGGGGAGGGAAAGACAAGAGAGAAAGAATGCATGTGCAGGTACATTCCCCAGATGGCTGCAGTGGCCGAGAGAGAGAGAGAGAGAGAGAGAGAGAGAGAGAGAGAGAGAGAGAGAGAGAGGAGCTAGGCAGATTCACAATTTGAGGAGCGTGCGGGTTAGGACACGAAGTGGCTGCCATGTGTTGGAGGTACAGTTGGGCACGAAGACCCGGCAGCTGTGAAGGGCACGGGAACCGCCTGCCCTGAGCTTCCAGGAGGTTGTTGGGACTGTGTGCGCCAGCGTTGCCCTGCCCGTGCACTCCCCGAGAATGAAGTAGGTCTGCACGCCACCGCTCCGCGTCGGTGTCCGCAACAGCACGCCTTGGAGTAGCCGGGAAGCTGAAGCGGCCAGCTGACGCGGGCAGGGGGGTAAAGAGGAGCAGGGAGCGAGGAAGTGGACACCTGCTCACTCGTGAAAATGCAGAGAATGCACACATCTCAAAGGTGAAAAACGGTAGGGGAGTGGTTGCTGGCACCCCGGAAAATGAAGCAGAGAGTAACTGCCAGTGAGGATGGGTATTGTTTTTCTTGTTTTAAAGGTGACTGGTTAGAAAGGCAGAATGCCAGCCGTCTTCCTATGACTGGGTCACTGTCCAAACGGCTGCAGCAGCCGGGGCTGGGCCAGGTCGGGTCCAGGAGCCAGAAGCTCTGTCTGGATCTCCGGCGTGGGTGACCAGAGCATGCACGGGCGGCTGGGGGGTGGGCCTGGACCAGAGGCGGAGCAGCCTGCCCCGAACAGTGCTACAGTGGAGGGTCAGTGTCGGAGGCAGTTGTTTAATCTGTGTGTGCCACAGCTCTGGTTACTTGACAGAGAGAGACGGTTTTCCATCTGGTTGACTCCGAATGGCTGCAACATTTTGCCCGGCCAAGGCTGGGAGCAGAGACTCCATGCTGGTTTCTTCCGCCTTTGGCCCACCTTCTGCAGCCTTGCTGGCACTTGGAATCGCAGTTGCAGGGACTCCAGCCAAGCCTGAGATAGGGTGCAAGTGTTAGCAGGGTGGTTTGGCCTAGGGGCCCCTGCCGGCCAGTGTTTCCGGGGCGTGGGAAGAAAGCGGCTCGTGGCAGCGTGCTGCAGGTAGAAATGTGGCTTGGGGCAGTGTTTGGTGCATGCCGAGGCAAAGGCGAGGCAGGTGTGGCTGCAGGTTGGAGCCTGGGCGCACTCCCGTGAGTGTGGCTTGGGGGAGGGGTCGGGGTGCAGGGAGGGCTGCCTGAAGCCTGGGGGTGGTAGGTGGGAGAGCTCCGTGCTGCAGCAGGGAGGACCCCACGCCGGCAGGGAGAAGGGGCTGCAGGGCCAGCAGGTGCGTCGAGGTCGGAGTCAGCAGCTTATGGCAGGCCCTGCGGAGCAGGATGGGAGGAGTCAGCCCAGGCTGGCGGGATTGCGGCAGCTAACTGGCGCTCTTGACAAGAGGGAGGTGTCCAGGGGACCCAGGGACTTTTTTGAGATTTACTTTTTTTTTTTTTTTAATCCGAAAGTCGGATATAGAGAGGAGGAGAGACAGGGAAGATCTTCCATCCATTGACTCACTCCCCAAATGACCACAATGGCTGGAGCTGAGCCAATCCGGAGCCAGGAGCTTCTGGGGTCTCCCAGGGTCCCAAGGCTTCGGGCCGTCCTCGACTACTTTCAGACCAGGCCAAAGCAGGGAGCTGGAAGGGAAGCGGGGTCACCAGGACGTGAAGCAGCACCCGTACGAGATCCTGGCGTGTGCAAGCTGAGGACTTTAGCTGCTAGGCTACCACGCCGGGCGACCACGCCAGGGACTTGAAGAGCAAGGAGATAGGTCATCTGTTAAGAGAAGGACCGTCTTTCCACATCCGCATCCTAACAGCTGTTTCTCAAGCACGTTGTCACGGCGATGATTTTCCGTAACACAAGCCCCCCTCCCCCACCTGCTTCCCCCGACCTGGGCCCAGGCCCTTGTTGGCTGTCTGGGGTGCCTTGGTCCCCGAGCATAGTTCCGAGGGTTGGCTTCAAAAGGCTCCAGGCCTTCGGGGAGTGTGTAGCCTTGGTGATCCCTTGCTGTTGCCGTGCAGTTAAAAACAGGGATATTATTTGAAAGGCAGAGTTACAGAGAAAGAGGGGGAGGGGCAGAGAGATCTTCTGTCCCCTGTTGACGCCTCCAAATGGCTGCAACGCCCAGAGCTGGGCTGATCTGAAGCCGGGAGCCGGGAGCTGCACCTGGGCCTCCCACGTGGGTGCAGGGGCCCAAGCACTTGGAGCCATCTGCTGCGGCTTTCCCCGGCACGTTGGCAGGGAGCTGGATCTGAAGTGGAGCAGCCAGGATTCGAACCCGCAGCCCTGTGGGCTGCCTGCGCTGCAGGCGGTGGCTTAGTGTGCTGGCCCCTGTGGCACAGCTCTTGTTGCATGTGCCTTGTTGCAGTTTGTCCTCTGTCCCCTTGGTCGGTGCAGCCGGGATGTGAACTGGCCCTTGTGCGGGGTGGCAGCGCGGCTGGTGGTGACTTTACCCATCGTGCCTTGACCCCCGGCCCTCAGGGCTCTTGTGTAGGTTGGTGTGCTTAGCTGCGCTTGTGTACGTGTGTGTCACACACTTGCATCTGTGGTTGCACATGAGAGACGGTGCCTTAGCACCGAGTGACCAACCCTGTGGGCCTCTGTGTTTAAGTAACAACGGAGTTGTGCTGATTCACTCCTGGATACCCCCAGAGTGGGGCTACCCGTGGGGAGTGGTCCTGGGCGCTGGGCTCTGAAGCCAGTGCTGCTGCCTGCTTGGGGTGGCAAGCTGGCCCCGGGGCCTCCACTTCGGACCTGGAGCCGGGCACTCTGGTAACTCCTCCTGCCCAGGCTACGCTTGTGACGCACTGTTTTCGTTGCAGATGGCCTCGGCGGTATCGGCATGGGGTTGGGACCAGGAGGGCAGCCCATTGATGCCAATCACCTGAACAAAGGCATTGGCATGGGGAACCTCGGGCCTGCAGGTGAGACCCACGGGCCCCGTGGCGGGCAGGCTCCGGGGGACGGGTGGGAGTGATGGGAGCAGCGGAGCCTTGAGCAGTGCCCGTGGGATAAAGGTTTAACTGAAATCCCCCTCTGGCCGTCTTCACTTCGTCTCCGTAAGGCAGCGTTTGGTTGTTCCCGAGCAGAAAAGGCATTGTGTGTCTTTTCATGGGGGTCCTCAGGGCGGCCTGCTGAGCTAAGATGCTCACGCCAGCGGATGAAGGACAAGCCGGGGGTAGTTGTTGGCCAAGGCCACAGTGCCAGCCAGTGGTAACGGCTGCAGGCCTCCTGACCTCAGGACCCAGCAGTGCTGTGTGCCTGTGCCCAGTCCCCCTGGGCTCCCTATAAAGGGCACAGGGGCAGCATTGCGGGGCGACCGTCCAGCTGGCGGGATTCCCCAGGGAAGACGGGGCAGTTCCCCCGAGAAGACAAGGGCTATGACCTCTGGAGACCAAGCCTCCCTTCTCACAGTTTGGTTTCTGGGTCCCGAGGCATCCCAAGCCGCTGCCGGAGTCCGTTCCCATCTATGGAATATAAGAGGGAGGAGAAAAGGGAAAGGGTGTAGGAAAGAGGGAGGGAAAGAGAGAAACTGAATAGGAAAGAAGTGAATGGGTGAGGAGAGGGTCAGGTAAGAAGTGAAGGGTAAGGAATGAAGGAAAGGAAAGGAATACATGTGAGGGTATAGAAAGTGTGATGGAGGGAGTATGGGGATAAGAGGGGGGATAAAATGGAGGAGGGAGGGTTTGTGAGGGGTTGAGTATTTAAAGAGGAGAGGTGTGGTGATAGAGGGTAGGGAGAGGGGGGAGGGATTGTGCGGAGGTAATGAGGGTGGGAGGGTGGTGTTTTAGGGACTGATACGTGTGATGGCTTGTGAAGTGGGGTTTTTGGGAGTGCTGGAAAGGGATGGGGGGGAGGAGTATGGTGAGGGGTGGATTTAGGGGTGTGGTGAATGGCACGGGCTGGGAGGGTGGTTGTTGGTCAAAGTATTGTCGGGAGCCCGCGGGAGGGGGGCTGGGCTGGCCATGGGGTAGTGGCCCGAGAGTCTGGAAGTTTCGATGTTAACTTGCCTCGACGTAATTTGAGTTTGCATTGATTTTTCCTCCCCCCCCTCTTTTTAAGGAATGGGAATGGAAGGCATAGGATTTGGAATAAATAAAATGGGAGGTAAGAACTTTTAAACATGAAGTACGGATACAGTCCCCTTGGGGTGTGGTCCCTCTGCCCCTCTGAGCCCTGCATGAACTCCTCACCCTGGTCCCCAGCAGCATCTGGCACTGTGACCTCGGGCGAGCCACTGTCCCTGGGCCCCTTTTTTTTTTTTCCTTCTCTCGGGGTGGATCACGTCGGCTTTCGTAGAGGGTTTAGAAAGCAGGGCAGCAGCCTTCTATCCGCCAAAGCCCCTTGAGCCCGGTCAGCCTTCTCCTTGTCCTGGCTCAGTGCCCCGTGCCCTGCTCGGGCGATGCTCAAGTTGGCGTGTGTTTCTCTCTTGCAGCCATGGAGGGCCCCTTCGGCGGTGGCATGGAAAATATAGGGCGCTTCGGATCTGGGATGAACGTGGGCAGGATCAACGGTAAGGCTCGCGTTTCCCCGCCGGCGCCAGGCCGCAGGCTGACCTGGCCTTCGCGCGTTCCTTGTGCGCTGTTCCTGCCAGCTCACTGGGGTTCGAATCACCTTAAACGTTTCCGAAGCTGAGCCTCACCAGGTCCCGACAAGCCCGAAGTGACCATGCTCTGGGTCTCCCCGGTCGCTGTCCCAACGGAAATGGGAGGCTGCGGCCTTGAGCGCTGCGAAGCCCGTGGGCACCTGTGGCGTGTCGCCTTCCCTGTGGTCCCCACGGGTGTTGGGTGCCTTCCTGGGCGTCTGCTGGCCCTGGTGACCGCGGAGCTTGTATCGGTACAAACAGCAGTGTCTTTGAGTCGTCTCATTGACGCAATGCGGATTTTTTATGGGCCTGAGCCTTCTTCCAGCGCTCCCGGCCTTTTAAAGAAATTTGCTGATGACGGCGTGTTTCGTTGAGGCCTTGCAAAAACCCGCATGGCCTGTAGGTGCTGCAGACCCAGAGGCGCGGGGTGACTTGCCTGAGGCCCCGTGGCCGGTGCGTGGGCGTGCTAGGTCGTGAACCCAGGCTGGTCCCCGAGCCTGGCTCTTGGTCCCGCTGCGGTCCTTCCCCTTGGCCTCGCACAGCGGCAGCGGCGATGGCAGCAGCGCGCCTCCTCTGGGGAGTCCTCCGCGCGCTGGCTGACTCCCACCCCGACCTCTGCAAAGGCGGCTGCTGTAAATGCGTACTCCCGGGATGGGATGTCATCGGGCACGTGGGTTTACTGTAATGTGCCGTGTGAAAATAGAACAGACAGAAATCTTAAGCAAAAAAAAAAAACAGACTAGCTCTCCAAGGCATTGGAAAGCATTTCTTTGTGCTGGTGCGTAGGGAGTGGGCGGGCAGTGTGAAAACCTTTTGGGGGGGGGGCAACTGCCATTTAGATATTTATAACACCATTTGTGCACCATACAGAATCACGAGCCTTGGCGATCTGTGGGCAGGAGATGGGCGTGCCGCCCAGGATGGCCATGAAGGGCCATGGAGACTGTCAGGCTTGCCTGCAGCTCGTGGGTGGTGAGGAAGCTGGCAGAGGGGAGCCAGGGACACGCTGAACTGGGCCACTCAGTCCTGGAGCAAGGGGATGTGTGTGCGGGCCAGCAGGTTAGGGCTTAGGCCTGGCGACAGAGTGGGCTGACACTCCCTGTGGAGAGTTGGGAGTGTGCCATCCGACTGCCATGTGCTTGCACCTGCTTGGCCAGCGGCTTCCTCGCACCCGAGTGGAGTGCTGGGATTGGGGGGGGTGACCTCAGGAGCCCTTGGGCGCCACGTGCACACTGCAGAGTCTACAAAGCTGACTTTGAACTCTATGAGGCCGAGCTTGAGAGAGTAAGTTGAGCTCTCGCCTGCTGTCTGACTTCCCGAATGCCCACGGCAGGAGCCAGGAACTCAAGTCCAGGTCTGCCCATGGGAGGCAGGAGGTAGCCGGAAGCTGCAGTTAGAAGCAGAGCTGGCTGATGAACCTCGGTGCTCGCATGCACATGGCAGCCCGCCAAGCCACTGATGTTGGAAAGTGAGATTTACAGAGAGATAAGGAGCTAGAGGAAGATCTTCCGTCTGCTGTTTCACTGCCCCAAGGTCGCAACGGCCAGGAGCTGCTGCTTCCAGGTCTCCCATGCCAGTGCAGGGTCCCAAGGTTTGAGCCGTCCTCTGCTGCTTTCCCAGGCTAGGGAACTGGGAGGGAAGTGGAGCACTCAGGATAAGAACTGGCGCCCAGATGGGATCCCAGTGCTTGGGAAGCGAGGGTTTAGCCGCTGAGCCGTTGTGCTGGGCCCAGCCACCGGCTTCCGTGACAGTTGGCTATCCTGATGTGTCTGTTGGAGTCAGAGGGTGCAACCACTGGAATGGCTTTACATATTGAGAGCCCATTGTTTGTATTTGAAAGGCAGAGTTGAGGAGAGCTCTTTGCCCCTCTGACCTACTCCAAGTGGCTGCAACGGCCAGAGCCTGGCTGGTCTGAAGCCAGGAGCCAGGAGCTGCATCCGCGTCTCCCCTGTGGGTGCAGGGGCCCACGCGCTTGCACCATCTGCGGCGGCTGTCCCAGGTGCATTGGCAGCGAGTTCAAGTGGAAGTGGAGCAGCTGGCTCTCAAACTGCTGTCCATATGGGATGCTGGTGCCGCCGGTGGGGGCTCCGCCTGAGCGGGCACAGCGCCGGCCCGTGTTTATTTATTCCCTTTGAAAGTGTTACTAGACTAGAGAAGTAATGACGCAGATCCTCCATCCTTTGGTCGGTCACACTGAAGCCAGAAGCTTCACGGGCTCTCCCACGTGGCGGCAGAGTTCCAAGCACTGGGTTGGTTATCCGTTGCTGCTTTTCCTAGGCTCCAAGCCCTTTGGGGTGCTGGTTATTGGTTGGAAAAGCAGAGTTGGGGAGAGGCCGCTCTTTTCACTCATGCACTGCTTCTCTCCAGATGGCTGCAGCCAGCGGGGCTGGGCAGGGCCGAAGCCAGGAGGCTGGGCTGCTTCTCGTTTCCTCTGTGCGTGCCAGGGTCCCGAGGGCTCGGGCCGCCCTCTTCTGCTCTCCCGGATCAGTAGCAGGGAGCGGGATTGGAAGTGGAGCGGCAGCTGGGACTCGAACTTGCACCCGTCCGGATGCCAGTACTGCAGAGCCCTAACTCTGCGCCACTGAGCAGGCCCGGTAAACGGATCAGAGTGGCTAGCTTGGTTATAGAATGTCTAAAAGCAAAAAATCCTCTGATTCATTTATGTTGCATTGACTGTGACGGTGTGCGCACACAGAGCCCCTTCTGTGGATAACGCGGTCGGGTGGATGAGCTCCGAGGCTTTGACCATGCAGGTCGGGCTGCCTCTCCCAGAGCCCCCCGCCCCACTGGCCTGGAGTAGGGTTACAGCAGCAGAGCTCTGCCCGGGGCCCCTCAGTTGTGTTGTAGCCCCTCCAGCCGGGGACGCCTGCAGCTGGCACTCTGCCCGCCTGAGTCCTCCGTGACTGCCCGTCTTGTCTCTGCATCTCTCCAGCCCGCTGTGAACGGCTGATACAGTAGTATGGCTACTCCGGAAACTGTTAATGAGTGTTTTCTGTTACCATGGCCAAAGTGGCTAATTTTTGTTTTCTCCTGATTTCCTTAGAAATCTTAAGTAACGCTCTGAAGAGAGGAGAGATCATTGCCAAGCAAGGAGGAGGTAGGAACCCTGGTCTGCCTCTGACTGATTGGCAGGCTGCCCCTGCCGTGCCCTGCTCCGGGACCCCACCTGGCCCCAGCTGTGTGACGTGTGGCACATTGGTGAACCTCTCTGTTCTAACACTGCTGTGACCCGCGGGCTGGACCAGCGCCTGCCTCGCAGGGCTGTTGCTGAAGAGCCAGGGAGCTGATGCCGGCAGCTTGGTTGTGTGCGAGTGTTGGCTGCTGGGGCTACGAGCCACGTGTGACCGGGGGATTCGTGGGGTCCCGAAGGCAGATTCCCCATCGTTCCCTTGTGGGGGAGCTGGGAGCACGCCGCCTGGTTCCTAGCAGGTGCTTCTCCCAGATGGCGCCCAGCCCACATTGTAAACTTGGGTGGAAGCACAGAGCCAGTGCCCACTGCCCGGGGGTTCCTGCTGCAGAGCATTGTGGCACTGCTGGTCCTTGGGCCTCCTGGCCGAGTTGCCCTGGCCTCTTCCTGGGGACTGACGTTGGCTTTTACTGCCGTGGCGGGTGGCTGCGAGAGCCCTCGGAGACCTTGGCACCATCTTGTATGCTGAAGCCCTATGTAGAGTGTCCGGTGCCTAGACGCTCACCCTCGCAGGGCTTGTCCTTGATGTTTGGTGCATTTTTTGCCATTTGGCCTGCTGCTCTTGAGCTGAGAATTCGGCCTGGAGGAATTCCGTGGCTCGGGAAAGGTCACCGGGCTGGGCTGGGCTGCTCAGAGGCGGCCGGTGGCACTGGCGCCCTGTAGGTGGGCAGTACTGGCTGCTGGGCGTGGAGTGGCCACCAGGCACCATGGACAGGGCTGTGTGTGCTGCCAGCTGGTCCCAGGCTGCTGTCCCAGCCTGCCCTGGGGGCCTTCTGGAGCCAGTTAGGTTGTGTGTGCGGTTAGCTGGCCGGGGAGTCGGGGGCCCCGGAAGCGGCTGGCGTTGTGTTGGTGATCGCTTGCTTCTTGCATTGCATCTCTGTCTCATCACGTGGCTCGCAGAGTCACTTGGCTGTGCCTGGGGCCGCTGAGGAGAGGCAGGCCCATTTGTCTCCTCACGGCGTTGTCCCTGACGCTGGATGCCCACTGAGCATGGGCGTGTCTCCACAGCTTCCATCCCACGGGTGTGGGCAGAGTGTGGCGCGGTCCCGGTGCCCGTGTCGCCTGCCCGGCTCTGACAGCAGCCAGTGTTGGAGGGATGTTGGCTGTGGATTGAAGGGTGTGCTTAGTGCTCTGTGGGTGCTTGTGGGCTGCGGTGCCCGGGCACGAGGTTGGTGTGCACGTGGCTGCCCAGTGCCTGACACCTGCTTCTGTTTTGTGTCTGTCCTAGGTGGAGGTGGAGGCAGTGTCCCGGGCATCGAAAGGATGGGCCCCGGCCTTGACCGCATCGGGGGTGCTGGCATGGAGCGCATGGGCGCAGGCCTGGGCCACGGCATGGATCGTGTGGGCTCCGAGATGGAGCGCATGGGCCTGGTCATGGACCGCATGGGCTCCGTGGAGCGCATGGGCTCCGGCATCGAGCGCATGGGCCCCTTGGGCCTCGATCACATGGCCTCCAGCATCGAACGCATGGGCCAGACCATGGAGCGCATCGGCTCTGGCGTGGAGCGCATGGGCGCCGGCATGGGTTTCGGCCTGGAGCGCATGGCCGCGCCCATTGACCGTGTGGGCCAGACCATTGAGCGTATGGGCTCAGGCGTGGAGCGCATGGGCCTGAGCATGGAGCGCATGGTGCCCGCGGGCATGGGGGCCGGTCTGGAGCGCATGGGCCCCGTGATGGATCGCATGGCCACCGGCCTGGAGCGCATGGGCGCCAACAACCTGGAGCGCATGGGCCTGGAGCGCATGGGCGCCAACAGCCTCGAGCGCATGGGCCTGGAGCGCATGGGCGCCAACAGCCTGGAGCGCATGGGCCCAGCCCTGGGCGCTGGCATCGAGCGCATGGGCCTGGCCATGGGTGGCGGTGGCGGTGCCAGTTTTGACCGCGCCATTGAGATGGAGCGTGGCAACTTTGGTGGAAGCTTCGCGGGCTCCTTTGGAGCTGGAGGCCATGCCCCCGGGGTGGCCAGGAAGGCCTGCCAGATCTTTGTGAGAAATGTAAGTGGCTCTGATGGGCTCGTCAGGGGCGCGCGGTGGAGGCCCAGGGACGGAGGGACGGGATTCGAGGGTGGATGCTGCACCCCCCCCCGAAGGGGAGTGGGTGATGAAGAGAGCTGGCCTCGTCCCTGTCCCTGGAGATGGGGACCTGAGGGGGGTGTGGGAGCGCAGAGCACTCAGCAGATGACTGGGTCCTGCTGCTGGGCTTCTCCGGGGAGCTGCCTAGCCACTTCCTGCTCGGCTGCCCTGCAGGGTGCCCGTTTTGGCACGACGGTTAGGCATGGCTCCGTGGTCCCGCGGGCTCCAGGCAGGCCGCCCGCCATATAGCCTTATGTCTGTCCCCATGACGCGGTGGGCTGTGGTGGCTGTGTGTCACACTTGGTCTGCAGCAGTCTCCCCTTCCCCCCCCAGCTCCCGTTTGACTTCACGTGGAAGATGCTAAAGGACAAATTCAATGAATGCGGTAAGTGGAGGCACACGTCGCACCACTGCCACGTGTCCTGCGGCCTTCCCGAGCTCCGTGGGCAGAGCTGCCCGTGGCTCCACGTCCCCTCCCTGCAGTGTCAGCCTTGCCCCTAGAGAGCTCCAGGGTGTCAGCTGCCCCTCCCTTTTCAAGGTCCAGATTCCCAGGCCTCTTGAAGACTTGGCCCCCATCTCCTCCATCTCCGAGCTGGCTGCACCTGCTCGTGTCCCGGGAGGCCTGGCCCTCGCCTGCTGCTGTGTGCTTGGCCCCCAGGGCCCTGCATGGCAGGCCCGTTTCCCACAGGCCGGGCACCCCCTCCCCAGGCGTCTAGCCGGCATTTGCAGGCCTGCAGGTCTCTGTGTGGGTGTCAGCCTTGGAATGGAGAGGCGGTGAATCAAACAGACTAGCCAAGTTTTGTCGGTTGACGTCACACAGCCCCGTGGTATTTGAAGTCACAGGAAGGCCGCGCACAGGGCGTGATGGGACCCGTGTGCTGGCGGCGAGTGTCCCTCGGGGCTGGTCCCCCCGGGCAGCCTGGGCTTGCGTGAGCCTCACACGCGGTCTGTCCCACCCTGCACCAGGCCACGTGCTGTACGCCGACATCAAGATGGAGAACGGCAAGTCCAAGGGCTGCGGCGTGGTCAAGTTCGAGTCTCCGGAGGTGGCGGAGCGAGCCTGCCGGATGATGAACGGCACGAAGCTGAGCGGCCGCGAGATTGACGTGCGGATTGACCGCAACGCCTGAGTGCCTGCGCGCCCGCCTTCCGGGACACGGACACCAGACCTCCAGATTTGTATTTTTTTTTTCCTGTTAACGATTTTAATTTGTTGGCTGGATGTATAAAGAAGTTGAAGAGATTCAGTTGCTTTTTTGGGGTCATTTGAATTACTTTTATAATGACTGGGGTTCCATTTGACTGTCTGCGTTGAGATTGCAATGTGCGCAGTTTGTTTTTTTGTTTTTTTGTTTTTTTTTTGTAGTTGTGGCATCTTGTTGACATTGATAAGACTTTGATAATAAATACAGGTTCCTGAAAGCACCTGCGCGCTGTGTTTGTGTTGAAGCGGCCCCGGGGTTCAGGAGCTGCCCGCCGTGCCCCCTGCCAACACGGCTTGGGGGTGCCCAGCTTGGCATGTCCATGCTAACCTGGAGCCAGCCACGTGCCCCGCGCCCCTGCGCCCAGCCACCCAGCTCGCCCAGGTGGCCGTGCCCCGACTGCATGCTGGTCTGGAGGGAAAGAAGACACGACATGGGGGTGCTGGAGAGAGGTGCTTTATGTGGGTGACGTCCGCCAAGCGGGAGGTGCCGGGCTCTACTGCTCGCGGGGGAACGGCTGGCTCTCCAGCGAGTCTGTGAGCAAGGGTGACATGCAGTGGCGTCTGTCCCCCCCTGGCCGTCGCTGGTCCCTTCCAGCCACCCCACCACCACCACCCGCCCCCCCAGGGGCCACATACCCCAGACGCCAACGTCATCATACACCTCCGTTTCCCTGGCGGAGAGCACAGAGCGGTCAGCGAGGGGCACCCTGACCCGGCCCCCTCCCTGCCCCACCCGGCCCCCTCCTCCAGGCAGCAGCACTTACAGGGGCAGCAGAGCCGTCCTGGGCACGTAGCCATCTACAGGGAGAGCGCGAGTGAGCGAGGGCTCAGCAGGTCGCCAGGGCCGCCTCCCTCGCTGCCCCCCCCCCCCCCTCCTCCTCCTCCTCCTCCTCCTCCTCCTCCTCGCTCACTCACACTTGCCCTTGGGATCCCGACACAGCATCTCCTCCTTGCTGGTGAACTGGATGACCTCCAGGATCTCGCCCCGCCGGATGCCCAGGTGTGTTCCCCCACCGCGCCGCGTCTTGGCGTTAGGGTCTACCATCATCTTGGTGTGAACCACGATCTCCCCTTCAAACTGGGGGCGGGAGGGGGCCAGGTAGGAGAGCTGCCGCTGCCAGGCTGGCCAGGGACTCGTGGGGCCTGGTTCATGGTGTGGTGCAGGGCAGGGGGCCGGGGGAGGCAGTGATCCACACCTTGAACTTCTTCCGGAATTCCTTCTCGGCTTTCTCGGCCTTCCTGATTTGTTTCAGCAGCTTCACGTCCGTGGGTGGTGGCGGCTGCTGTGGCTGGGGGATTCTCTCCTTCCTGGGTCCCCCAAGAAATAGGGGTGTCTCTGAGCAAGCTGTATCCTCGGGTCTGTCTGCCTTCTGCCCGCCCCATCCCTCTGCCCTCCCGTCCATCCCATGCCACGATACCTGGGTGACACATCTTTGGGTGGTCTGGCGGCTGGCTGGGTGTTTGGCGTGTCACCTGCACCCGGTGGGAGAAGCAGGGGCTGGCACCTTGAGCTCAGCCCCTCCACCCTGGTGCCTCAGGTCTGCCTGGGGGTCCTTTCTCTCTTCTCCCCCTCGTAACTGGAGTTACTCAGAAGTTTTGTACCTGCCCCACGGTAAGACTGCACCACCACCCAACTGCCCCCCAGCCCTCGCGGCTGCCCCCCGGCCCTCGCGGCTGCCCCCCGGCCCTCGCGGCTGCCCCCTGGCCCTTGCGGCTGCCCCCCGGCCCTCGCGGCTGCCCCCTGGCCCTCGCGGCTGCCCCCCTCCGTGGGCCCTCTTGGGCTCCTACCTCCTAGGAGGCAGGCTGCGTTCTGCAGGATTGCAAGGACTTGGGGCTCAAAGTCGCCCTCCCATCCAGCAGCCCACTGTGGGCATTGGCATTGCCCCCACCAGATGCTGACCTTGACCTGACCTCGGATGCGGTGCCATCCAGGGTCCTGTACCCCTAGACCCCTGACACACCTTCCCTTCAGCTGCTCCTGGCTCTCAGACGGGTACCCTGTTATCTGGGTGGTCACCCAGGGCATTCCCTGGGAATCTGCAGTGCAGGGCAGGTGCCAGGCAGCTTGGGCAATGTCCCGGGTAGGGCTGGGTGTGGGTCTCACGCAGCAGTGCAAATATGGACCTCCAAGAGTGCCCAGCAACCTTTGCAGGGTGGGGATGAGGAGGCAGAGCCAAGCAGGTGTGGCATTTGATGCAGGGAGGGCTGGGCTGAGTGGCATCTGTAGACCCCATGCCCTAGCCTTTCCTTCCGAGGGCACTTTGGGGAAGCTGTGTGCCAACACCGAGGTGCTGCAAGCATCTCCCGGGGGCCAGCACAGCCAAAGGGGCGCCCAGGGCTCCGTCACCACCCCTTCCTTCCCCAGAGCCTGGGCTGGCGATTCCCCACCATGGAAGCTGGGTTGGGGGACCCTCGTGAGAGCCAGAGCCAGGCTCTTGTTACACCCCAGGGCTTGGGCGTCTGTATTGTGGCCTTGGGGGGCTGCACACTGGGTGACAGGCCCGTGTATGCATGAGCAGATGCTTAGGAGAAAGAGGGGGGGGGGGTCTTCTGGTACCCCAGGAAGGCAGGGCTGCCCAGGGGTCTGGACAGACTGGCGGGAGTGGCCTGTGGAACTTGCCCCTGGAGCCAAACCTGTGTGCGCCATGCCTCTCTCTCTCCAGACTGCCAGGCCCACATCCTGGGGCACCTCAGACCCAACCTGGCATCTCGTCCCCCAGCGCCCACTGGGGGGAGTGGTTGTTGCTGAACAGGGGTTCCCCTTAATTCACACGCCTCCCCCTTGTCAGACTGTGAATTTAACCCTGTCTGCCAGGTGTCCCGCGGGAAGGAAGGCAGCCAACCTGGGCCCCTCCGGCTGGGGCTGAGGCTGGAGCTGCCGTGGTCCCCGGGCTCCAGGTTATCATAAAACTCGTAGATGTATTCAGGCTCCCTGCAAGGGTGGTGGGCACAGGGGTGAGGGCCTGATCCAGCACCCACCCCCCCACCAAGCCTGCATCGACCCACCCTTTATTCCCTGTGCTTACGGCTTGGGGTCGCCACACAGTAGGGCCTGGGAGGGGGTCCCAGCAGGAGAGCTTGCCCTCTGCAGAGCTGTGGAAAGGAGGGGGGACGGATGCTGGAGGCAGGAGGAGCTGGCTGGGACCCTCTGCATCTCCTGTGCCAGCGCCATCCACTCAGCCCCACCTGTGACTGATGGTTTCCGGAAGCTCTGGATGTCCACCGGGCCTGGGGGCAGCGGGGGCTTGGCTGGGGGTGGTCCCAGGCTGCTGGCAGCGGGGAGAGGCCTCCGCCGGGGGGGATAGCTGGCCCTGAGGTCCGACCTTGACCCTTCCCTGTAAGTGAGACCTCCAGACATCCAGTGGGGCTTCCCAGGGACTGCAAGCCCAGGGCTGAGCTGGTGGCACTGGGGACCGGAGTGGGCCATGACCGTGGGCAGTGAACTCTCGGAGACGGAGCCTGGGAGTGGGGGCTTCCTTGGGACTCCAGCCAGGAAGTGGGGTTGCAGGCGCTGCTTGGGCAGTGTGCTGGGCTCCGGCTGGGAGACCTTGCGGGGGACTGCCGGGTGCCTGGGTTGCCCTGGGGACTTGCCAGGCGACACGTTGACCTCGGGCTCTGAGCACGTCCTGGGGAGGCTGCCCAGCCCCGGCTGCGGGGGCTTTGCTGCTGGCACTGGGAGCCCTGGCTGCCGTAGCCTCTCGGCCAGCACGCTGACCTCGGGTTCCGAGCACGTCCTGGGGAGGCTGCCCAGTCCGGGCTGTGGGGGCTTCTTGGGGTGCAGCACACGCGGGTCGGGGTGCGGAGAATGGGGCCGGGGCTCCCCCGTGACCTCTGGCATCTGAGGGAGCTTGCCCATCTTGGGCTGTGGCAGCTGCTTCGGGGGGAGGCAGGGGACCTCGGGCGACGGGGGCTTCTTGGGAAAGGGGCTGGGTTTGGATTCTGCAGGGGACCTGGCAGGATGGCTGGGGTCTGGCCTGGCGGCCTTCAGAGTGGCCCCAGGGACCTCAGGTGGCGGGGGCTTCCTAGGAAGGCCAGAGGCCTCGGGCAGCAGGGGCTTCTTGGGAAAGGGGCTGGGTTTGGGTTCTGCGGGGGGCCTGGCAGGATGGCTGGGGTCTGGCCTAGAGGGCTTCAGAGCGGCCCCAGGGACCTCAAGTGGCGGGGGCTTCTTGGAAACATCGGCGACCTCGGACGGTGGAAACTTCTTCAGTCTGTTGACCTCGGGCTTGGGGGGTTTTCTTGGGGGTTCGTCGGACTGGGGCTCAGACGCCTGGAATCTGGCTTGGAGACTCCGGAAGTACTGTTGGCTCTCCTAAGGGGTCACGGGGGTGGGGGTCGGCAGGGACTGTCAGGTTGACCACCCTCCCCCCTTTGACCTGGCCGCTGACACCGCATCCCTCCCCCACCCCACCCCTCACCAGTGACCAGGGTCTGGTGCGACCCTTCCACCCAGTGACCTCGTCCCTGGAGGCTCTGGCCATTGCCCGGCCCCATGACAGCTTCCTTGATCTGCCACCATCCCCCTTCCCCGACCCCAGGCCTTCGTTCCTCCACCCTGCTTGGGGGCCGGGTCCCTCCTTGTGTTCCACTTTCGAAACAGCATCCTGGACCTAACCACTTCTCGCTGCCTTCCCCTCCAACCCCTCCCACTCCACCACAGTGGGAGGAACTGGATCACCCAAATCGGCTCTTCTTCCTCCTCCTCCTCCTCCTCCCTCCCCGCCCCCCACCAGCAGCCTCCCTGACTGGCAGGGGTTGGTGATCCTCTGCTGTCCGCCAGGTAGGCGCCTGCAGCCGGCACGCTGTGCCCAGCGCCGTGGCGGAGCCACTCTCGGGCCGTGCAGCCACATGTGTGTGCACACACACATCTTCCGTGCAGCCCCCACGCCTGCTGTAGCACAAACCTGTGCATCCTCACCTTTGGGGGTCCATGGGGGTGAGGGGGTCCTAGAACGCATCCCTGGAGTTGCGGGGCGGTGGGGGGGTGGGGAACGGAGTCACATAGCCAGTTGCATACTTGGCCCGACAGTCACACATGGGTGTGTAAAGACCACAGCATCTCGGATCAACCCTCCCCCTGCCACACGCACACAGACACACACCCGGGGGGGGGGGGGCTTCCAGACACAGGCTTCGCATCCCCCAGGGGCTAGGGAGACTGTGGGAAGAGGCAGGGCAGCTGCAGGTGGCTGGCGCCACCCCCGCCCCATCTGTGCTTCATGCTCTCCATTGCTGGATGCTAGGTGCCAAGGAGAATCCTTGGAAACAGCGGTGAATGCCACCAGGTGTGCCCGGCGACCATACGGAGCTCCAGAAGTCTGCCTGCCTCCGAGGGCAACCCAGAACTTGGTGATGGGAGGGGTAGGGTGCAAGGCCCTCTTAGCTGCCCTGCAGGAAGCCCCTGTCGCTGTGGCGTTGCTAATTCAAGCTGAGCTGGGGAAAAGAGGTGTGGGGTGGGGGTGGTGGACTGGTTGTACCCCCTTGAAATCACAGCCCCAGTCCTGGCTCCTGAAGGCGAGGTTGGGCAGGGGTCGTCTTTGTACCTTTGTGCCTTGGGGGCCCAACGTGCTCTCCTCTCACGCTCTGACCTCGTTCCCAGCATCCATCCCGTTGTGCACCTGCTGGTGCCCCCTTTGATGCCTGGCTAGCCCAGCCTCTCCGGGGCCCCTGGGGCGGGATTGGTGGAGAGCTTACCATGGCTGCAGGCAGCTGATGGGTCACGCACCAAGGCTGCTCCCTTCGGGAAGTCAGTATGGCGTCTGTCCCCTAGGCTTGCCAAACGGGCGGGCGGGGAGCGCAGAGGAAGGAGGCGAGTGGGGTGGGGAGTGGCCGCAGCCCGGCCCCTGAGCCTGTGGAGCATGCTGACCTCTGGGGGTGGGGGGGAAGTTCCAGGGCAGCCTCATAGGTGCCCCGTGAAGTTCCCAACACAGACCTCTCTTATGTTTAATTTTTTTCAAGGCTCAAAAGAGATCTTCCATCCACTGGTTCACTTCCCCAAATGGCTGCAATTCACCGCAATCCACCAGCCCGGCTGAAGGGCAGGAGCTGCGCGCATCCAGCTGTCCCGGGTGAGCGGCAGGTTGGGGAGCAGCAGGATCCAAGCACCTCGCGGGGAGCTGTGACTGGGACCCAAGCGAATGGGGGGAGGCGGGCCTGGACAACTCCTCATGGATTTTTAAGTTGCTTACTGGCACACGACAGCTGCACATCTGTGTGGGGGTGCCTCTTGGAACACGTCACTGCTGTCTCCTCTTTTTCCACTCGTGTCGGCTCCTGGGGGACCTTGTGTCCCCAAAGAGGCAAAAGACTCAGGTTCATTCAGTCTGGGGTGGAGACACGGTGGGGTGTGTGTGTGTGTGTGTGTGTGTGTGTGTGTGTGTGAGCGCACGGGCGCATGCTGGCGGGGGAGTGGTCCCTGTGTGACCGCATCTCTCTCCCTTGCCTCACGTTCCTTCCTCTTTTCAACACTTGGGTCGTGGCTGGCTGTCGGCAGGACTTCCCTCCTGTTGGGACTGATTTGCTGGCTGGGGGGGGGGGCTGGGGTGGGTGGGGTGGGGAAGGGGCGGACTGCGCGAGGACCATCCCGGATGTCAGGAGGATTCAGAAAGCAGAGGATGGAGATGAAGACCTGGGCTGGAGTCCATCCGCAGGGCCCAGGCCCCACCCTGAGCCTCGGTTTTGGCTTTAGGAAAAAAATTAAAAAAAAAAAAAACAGACAGAATGTGTAGTTTGTGGTCTGGGGGTGCGGCTTGGACCACGATTGTGAAGGGTATCCTGGCAGGAGGCAGTCATACCCAGCTGGACAGGAGGTCTGGTGATGGTTGGGGGCACACAGCAGGTGCTCATTGCTAACCAGCTGACTCTGCAGGACCCAACACTCCACCCCTTCCTCCCCAGGATGGTGGAGCCACCGTCTGCAGTGGGGACCGTGAGCCACCAGGGGACGCGTCCTCTCTGCTCTGGCGCCAGCAGCGCAGCCACGCACCTCCGGAGCGCTGGGAGGAACTAAGTCGAGGCCAGGGTCGGGGCCCCATCCAGGTGCAGGTGAACTGGCTGCAGGGGACAGGAGTTGGGGTTCCTGCAGGCTTGTGCACCTGTGTGAGTGCTTGCCTGGTGTCGCTCATGGGCGTCCCCTTGCCGGGAGGAGCCCCACCACACCCCGGCCATGTTTTTTTATCTAAATTTTTTTTGGGGGGGAAGACACACAGGAAAGCGATCTATCTGCTTATGCCTGGTGGCTAGCGTGGGGTCAGGCTGAAGCCCAGGAGCCGGGAGCTCCATCTAAGTGTCCCCACGGTGTGTGTGTGTGTGTGTGTGTGTGTGTGTGTGTGTGGCAGGGATGCAGGTATTTAGGGTACCGCCTCCTGCTGTCTCCCAGGAAGGGGGCCTCAAAGTGCTTCCGAATGCTTAAAACAGAGGAACTGGACACCCGGATGGCAGGCCCTGGGGGGGACGGGGTGATGATGACACAGGGTCTGGGGTGCACTTGATCCTGGGGGGACGGGACTCCAGGGCTTTGGGCACACGGGGGGTAAGGGGGCAAGGGACCCAGACACAGCCAGGCTGGCTTCTCCGCCTCCTTTATTGATCCACCCCCCCCCACCTCGCGCAACCTGGGATTACAAAACTCCCCAATCCTGCCACCCGCCCCCCCTCCCCATCCCCTCCATCTCGGCCGGGATCAAAGAGAGGAGAAGGCGGCAAGCTCCCCTTCTGACACAGGCAGCGGCGACGCGTTGGGTGCGAGCAGGGCCGGGTCTGGAGAGAGGCGACGCAGAGGGGGCGCCTGAGCCTCGGGTTTTTTTGTTTTGTTTTTTTAGTTCGTTTGCCCTGGTTCCGGTCCTGGATCCCCTCCCTCCCGGCCTCTCCAGCCGCCCATTCCTTCGGCCTTACCCGCGGGGGCGTCGGGGCGCGGCCCGGGCGTCGGGGCGTCGGGGCCGCCTCCTCCGGGTCGGTGGTCCTCCAGGTGCAGGGTCATGGCGGGACGCGAGGCCGTGGAGAAGGCGCATTGCATGCACGAGTAGCGGCCTCGCGTGTGCTCCCACACGATGCGGCTCGGGGCCGTGTGCCCTGCGGGGCAGGCAGGCGGGCACCCCATCAGGCCCGCGCGCCCTGAGGACCGCTCCGCCAAGCCGCCTCGGACCCGGCCCCGTTTGCCGTCAGCTGCCGTGCGTGCGCGGGCAGCCACCAGGCTCTGCCGGGTCCGTCTCTCCTCGTCTCGTCCACCTGTCGTCGCGCCCTTAAACGGCTTATCCGTGACCCTATTCCCACGAACCAAAGGATTGCTCCGAGGGGGGACGCGTTTCACGCGGGGGCGCCGGCGCAGAGGAAGGCGCGGGTGCTAATTTTTTTTTTTTTTAAGGCAAAAATCTTGTATTTCAGCGGGGGGTGGCTTTTTTTCAGATACCTGCCAGCGTGTGCACGGTCCCCACGGGGGTGGGGAAGCAACCCCTCCAACCCTCCCTCGCGGTCACCTGCACGCACCTGAGGGCGCATCGGAGCCGCCCTGTGGTCTTCGGGGGCTGCCGCCTGCACCTGCGGGAACAGGTGTCGGGGGGCTCAGGTCTGGAGTCGGGGGGCGCGCCCAGCTTGCCTCTCCCCGCAGGAGACCCCCCCCCCCACGCACGGGTTCTCACCTTGGCTTTTTTTCCAGACGGCAGCGCTGGAGGCCGGTGGCCCCGGTGCTGCAGCCAGGAAGGGCCGCAGGCGTGGGGGGCTTGGCCCGTAGGGCGCAGGGTTCAAGTAGGGCAGGAAGGGTCCGCTGGGGGTCGGGGCGGGGGTCGTGAAGGGCTCGAGCAGCGGGAACTGCGAGCCCGGGGCCGATGCAGGGTCAGGGTCTGGGGGCCGCTCGGGTGCCGGGGGTTCCTTGTCCAGGGCCGGGGGTGCTGGCGTGGCGGGACTCTGCGCGTGCTCGGCGCATACGTGCAGGTGCTTGAAGAGGGAGCGATGCGTGCGGAAACGCAGGAGGCAGTTTTCACACCTGCGGGTGGGTGGGTGGGTGGGTGGGGGGCACAGGGCTGGGTGGCCCCGCGGCTCTCGGCTCACAAGGTGCGTGCGTGCATGCGTGAATGCGTGCGCTTACTCATGGCATCCCAGGACTCGTTCTAGGCGCGTGTCCAGGATTGCTGCTACCCGCCGTGTGTGTGTGTGTGTGTGTGTGTGTGTGTGTGTGTGTGCGCGCATCCCACGTCCCCCCACCACTCGGTGCCCAGGGACACTCCACACCTCCCCCCGCCTCCTGCTCTTGGAGCTTGACCCCTCGGGCCTGGAGCGCGCTGGGAAGACGCCTCAGCATGTCTCCACTTCTAATGAGGTGGTGTGCGTTTTTGCAGGTTTTTCCGGGCGGCTGTGGTTTCACCCTTTCCCTCCCTCCTCCCGCGCCTATCTCCCCCACACCTGCTCCCGCCCACGCCCCCCCAGTCGTCCCCCCCCACCACCCCAGGCCTCCGCAGCAGGGGTCCAGCTCTCACTTAAAGTAGCGGTTGGGTTTATAGTGCAGCTTGCTGTGCGCCACCAGCTCCTGCATGTTCTGGAAGCTCTCGGTGCAGCTCAGCGCCGCGCAGTGGAACAGCTTGCCTGGAAGGTGCAAGGCGAAGAGCGAAGGAGTGGTCCAGGCTGGCTCGGGCGGGGATGGGATAGGGGCTGGGGGGGAGGACTCTCGCCTGCCAGCCTGCCTGCCTGCCTCCCCTGGCCCTGGCCCTGGCCCTGGCAGCCAGCCCCTACCTTCCAAGGACTGTGTGGGTGGGCAGTGGGTGCGGAGATGCTGGGCCAGCTCTCGGACGCTGGGGAAACTGAGGCAGCAGCTGGGGCTGGAGCAAGTGATGTGCTTTCCTGGAAGGAGGCACACACAGGACTGGGTGGTCAGCAGGGGGCCCTGTCCCACCACAGCCTGGCGCACGCACACACACGTCCTCATTTGTACAGTTCCCAGGCCTGTGGCTCTCCCCCGCCCCAGGAGGGGCTCACCCCTACCCGTGGCCAGGTCACCTGGAGCCGGACGCCGTCTGGGAGGCCGCAGATCCTCGCTGGTCCCAGGAGCTGTGCCGGTCGGGCCAGGGCTGGGGCCGGGGTCTGGGGCGGAGGAGCCACCCTGCTGTGGTCCTCCGGGGCCCCCACGGTCCCACCCCGGGGGCGTAGCTGCGGTCTCAGGGCCTGGCTCTTCCTCCATGGAGGTGGTTGCACAATGACCAGAGGCACTGGTGGCTGCCCCGGCGGGGGCTAACGCGGCCGCCTCTTTGTCTGTCCCGTTGGAGCTGGGCTGGGCAGTGGCCGCCCTGTCTGGGCTGGGCCTGGAAGTTTCTTCCTCCTGGTGGAAAAAGAGAGGTGGAGAGAGAGAGAACCCCTTGTTGTGCCTCAGCCGACCTGGGCTGACTCCTTCTTCCTTCCTCCCTCGGCCAGGACAACCCGGTGGGTTCCACGTTTCTGGAACCCCATCTTGCCAAGGAGGCACCAACAGGAAGGGGTGTTAGGTAAGGTGGACGGAGGTCCTGCCTCGTGCAACCCCATCACGAATGGAGGACGCATCACCTGGTCTTGCAACACGGGCACAGGTGGACAGGTGGGGGGGCGTGGACGGGGTGTGGCCGGGCGGGGGCGTGGCCTGCGCTGGGCGGGGCTAAGGTTCTGGAGAGGGAAGCGGCTGGAGAGGCCAGAAGCTGCAATATTTGAGGCTGGAGGCCGAATTCGCTAGTCCCGGAGCTGTGTAGACGGACCTGGGGGTTGGGGGGGGCTGCAGAGCGCAGGAGGAGGGGCTGGGGGCGTGGCCGAGCGTCGGGGCGTGGCCTGAGCCACCAGCGGGCGGGGCTGAGCCACCAGTGGGCGGGGCGGGGCCGTCAGCGGGTGTGGCTGAGCACCAGGGGCGTGACCTGAGCCACCAGTGGGCGGGGCTGAGTATTGGGGGCGTGATCTGAGCACTCGACGGGCGTGGCCCGGCGGAAGCCACGCCCCGGAAGCAGGGTCAGCGCCCCCCGCCGAGTGACAGCCAGCTGCGAGGGGCGCGGTGTCCCGGATGTCAGGGCGGAGCTCGGTATGTGTGCGGGACGGACGTGGCCGCTTCCCCCCACGCCGTTCCGCCGCGCCCGCGGTCCCGGGGCCCCACGCTCACCATCCTCCCCTCCTCGGCTCGGCTCCCCGTCCTCCGCAGCGCCGGCGGCTCGGGCGCGAGGAGGCGGCCACTTGGCTCCGGGCGCTTGCGGCCTCGCGCTCACGTCGACGCCATGTTGCGAGCCGCAGTTCTCGCGAGAGCGCGGGGCGGGGCGAGAGCGGGGCTGCGCGGCGGGCGGCGGGCGGCGGGCGGCGGGGGCGGGGCGTGCGGTGGGCTCAGCCTGGGGGTCCCGGGGGTCCCGGGGGTCCCGGCGCTCGGACACGGCGTCCCGATGATCCCCACGCTCGGACACGGCGTCTCCCCTCTCTCCGGGCCCGGGGGTCCTGAGGGTCCCGGGGGTCCCGGCGCTCGGACACGGGGTGCCGGGGGTCCCGGGGGTCCTGGGGGTCCCGGGGGTCCCCGGCACTCGGACACGGTGTCCCCCCTCTCTCTCCAGGGGCCCAGCTGCCCGAGGGGTGTCCTTCCCTGACTCACTACCTCCTCTCGGAAGGGCACATGGCCACTGCGCCGGGGTGGGCGGCGGCAGGTGCCAGGGGTCCCCTCGAGCCCGGTGGGGACGGGGTCGGCTGCGCGGGTGGAGAGTGGGGTGCCAGGGGTCCACGTCGGAGCCCCGGGGTGGGTGATGGGGGTCCGGCTGCTGGCTGGGTGGAGAGTGGGGTGCCAGGGGTCCCCGTCGGAGCCCCGGGTGGGGGACGGGGGTCTGGCTTGTCGGCTGGGTGGAGAGTGGGGTGCCAGGGGTCCACGTCGTAGCCCCCGGGTGGGGAACGGGGATCCGGCTTCTTGGTTTGGTGGAGAGTGGGGTGGCAGGGGTCCCCGTCGGAGCCCCGGGGTGGGTGATGGGGGTCCGGCTGCTGGCTGGGTGCAGAGTGGGGGTGCAAGGCCGTTAAGGTGACACGACCCAGCGGGGTGCACGGAGGGGGCGGCGCCCCGTGAGCTGTCCAGCCCGGTCATCGAGCTGGACAGACCGGTGCGGCCTCTCTCCCGGTAACCCCGGCTGTCCTTTGCCTGTCTCATAGCCGAGGAGGGGTGGATGTGGCTAAACCGGCTACGAGGGTCCAGTCGCTGCACCTTTGGGCTCATTTGTTCTTCCCGTTGGATTGTAACCTGGCTGGAAGGTCCGTCCAGTCAGGGACACTCGGGGTCTGGTAGCCATCAGCTCCATGTAGCCCCCCGCCGCCACACCTGTCAGGGGCTTCCTGAAGCCCACGCAGCCACTCTGAAAATCCCCCTGCCCCTCCTGGACCGGTCAGGGGAAGGTCGGTCATGATGGGAGCGTGGACACGAGCCGGGCGGGCACCTGTCAGCCCCTGTTGGAACCTCCCCGGGCTCTTCCTTGCTCTGTGCTTTGCGGGACAAATTCCCGCCACCTCCCACCACCCCTGTGTGGGTGATCGGCACGGTATCTGGCACACGCAGACCCGGGTCCGGAAGTGAACTTGGGGCAAGCGTGGGTTGTGTCCTTGTCACCCCTGACGAGTGGTTTAACAAGTCTAGAGGTGCTGGAGAAGCTGAGAAGTGCCATGCAGTTCCATCCGGGTCTACCAGGAGGTGCGGGCAGGCTGTGGCTTTGCTCCTGCTGGGGTGCCCCCGACTGCCTTGTCCCAGCGCATGGCTTCCAGCCCTTCACAGTGGCTCCCTGCTCACGTGCACCCACTCAGGAGAGACCCTTAGGAAGTTCCAGGCTCCTGGCTGCTCTGCCTGGCCCATCCCTGGCTGGTGGAGGGAAGAGCGGGAGGATGGGGCATTGGTGGCAATTGGGGAGTGAACCTGTGGACGGAAGATCTCCCTTCCTCTCTTTTCCTTTCAAATTAAAATAAAATATATAGGACCTGGTGCAGTAGCCTAATGGCTAAAGTCCTCACCTTGCATGCATGCACCGGGATCCCACATGGGCGCCGGTTCTAATTCCGGCAGCTCCACTTCCCATCCAGCTCCCTGCCTGTGGCCTGGGAAAGCAGTGGAGGACGGCCCAAAGCCTTGGGACCCTGCACCCGTGTGGGAGACCCGGAAGAGGCTTCTGGCTTCAGATCAGCCCCTTGGGGAGTAAACCAGTGGATGGAAGATCTTCTTCTGTCTCTCCTTCGCTCTGTAAATTTGACTTTCCAATTAAAAAAAATGCATCATATATATATGACACCTATGACTTTCATATATAGAAAAGAATGTCAGATTTGTGTGATCTGGTGGAGTGGGGTCCTGAGGACGCACAAGGGACACGGGCGCTGTTGAGAATCAACAGGATGTGGGGCCTGGGAGAGGGTGGGGCCGAGGGGACGCTGAGGTTTGCATTCACAAGATACAGTGACAGATACTGTGTGGTAGAACATGTCACACAGTGGAGGGGGGGTGGCATCTGGCACAGCAGTTAACACCTTTGTCCCTTATTGCCATGCCCAGCTCTGCTTCCTGCCCATGGGCACCCTGGCCTGGGAGGCAGCGGTTAATGGGAGACCTGGAGCGAGTTCCCAGTTCCTGCCTTCAGCCTGGCTGGGCCCTGACTGTTGTGGGCACTGAAGCTTGGGTGAAGGGAGAGTGGCAGATCAAAAACTGCGTAGAGGCCCGGCATGGTGGCCTAGTGGCTAAAGTCCTCGCCTTGAACGCGCCGGGATCCCATAGGGGCAGCGGATCTAGTCCCGGCAGCTCCACTTCCCATCCAGCTCCCTGCCTGTGGCCTGGGAAAGCAGTGGAGGACGGCCCAAAGCCTTGGGACCCTGCACCCAAGTGGGAAACCCAGACGAGCTCCTGGCTCCTGGCTTCAGATCGGCACAGCTCTGGCTGTTGTGGTCACTTAGGGAGTGGATCATCGGATGGAGGATCTTCCTCTCTGTCTCTCCTCCTCTCTGTATGTCTGATTTTGCAATAAAAATAAAATAAATCTTAAAAAAAAAAACAGCAAAAAACTTCATGGAAGATACAGTGTAAAGATAAATCTATATTTCATACCAAAAAAAAAAAAAGTTGGAACCCACGCATGGATGGTTCGCATTCCTAACTTTTCGGGAATGTTGTGCGAGGCCTGTGCCAATTGTGGGAACCCACAGAGCCTCTCTCTCATCCCCTCTATTTTCCCACTCGTAAAAACAGGGGCTGTTCCCTTGCTTTGTGACCACGACGTGGGGTGAAGCATCATCCTCATGGTCGGGGATGTGTGTTGCCATGGAGACGAGAGGACCGGGCCTGTGGCGTCCTGCCAGCAGCAGCACAGGACAAGGTTCATGTCGGCTGGAGAGGAGGTAGGTGCTGCCGGGGCCCGGGCTGGACCCAGGAGCAAACTCAGCCGGCAGGTGTGATGTGACTGAAGCCAGGGGTCTGAGCATGGGGTTAGGATGCTTTTCCTCCCACCCCCGCCTGCCCAGAGGCCCGGTTGGGCCGGGTAATCATAGGGGTTTGTTTGTTTGTTTGTTTGTTTGTTTTTTGGGGGGTGCTTTATGGCCAGTGAGGCTCCATGGCGACCAGGAAGGTAGCTGGGCATGCGGAGGGCGGGGTGCAATCATATCCACCCCGCACCCCCAGTTCAGATCTTCTCCACGTAATTTCCTGGGAAGAGACCCTCCTGACCATGCAGCCGGCCCTTCCACCAGCCCGACGGATCTGTGGGAGACAGAAGAGGCTACAGAGAATGCTGGGGCCGTGGCCCACCGCATCCCAGAGGGCCTTGGTGCCCGTTCTGTCTGACCCTTGGGACCTGGGAGAGGCGGGGGAGCGGGGGCTGAAGAGAGTTGTCAAAACTCGTGCCGTTGTAGCACAGCAGGTCAAGCCGCCCTCCGTGCTGACGCATCCCGTGCGGGCAGCAGTTCTCTGCCCTGGCTGCTCCACTTCTCATCCAGCCCTCTTCATGCTAACCCCCTCTGGGAAAGCACCAACAGAGGATCTAGCCCAAGTGCTTGGGCCCCTGCACCCATGTGGAAAATCTAGAAGCCCCCTGACTTCCACCTGGCTCAGTTCTAGTCATTGAAGTCAGAAGTCAGTGAATCCAAGATCTTTCTCTCTAACTCTTTGAAAAAAAAAAAAATTTTTTTTTTTCAAGGCTCCCACTGCATGGCTCAGCAGGTTAATTTCCAGTGCATGTCCCGGCTGCTCCACTTCCCATCCAGCTCCCTGCTTGCGGCCTGGGAAAGTAGTCGAGGACGGCCCAAAGCCTTGGGACCCCGCAGTTGCATGGGAGACCCGGAAGAGGCTCCTGGTTCCTGGCTTCGGATCGGCTCAGCCCCAGCCCTTATAGCCATTTGGGAAGATCTTTCCCTCTCTCTCACACTTTCTCTCTGTAAATCTGCCTTTCAAATGGGAATCAATAAATCTTTTTTTTTTTTTTTTAAATCTTAAAGACATATTAAGGTGGCTAGACCCAGGACCTGAACCAGTGACAGGCTGGACCCTGACATTCCTCAACTGGGAGCCACTTAGAGGCTGTCCCAGGTGTCTCGTTGTAGCCAGGAGAAGCCGGTTTTGGAGGGCACCCCATCGAGCCAGGCGCCCCGTCGAGCCTCTTGCAGTCACTGGGACAGCAGAGGAGGGGGGGTCTCCCTGGCACCCTCCCACCCCCCGACCGAGAGGATGGGAAAGGCGTGTGCTCTCCAGAGGGACTTCCTGGCGGTGTCGGCAGGCTGACCGGTCCTGGGGGTGGGGGGGACCCCGGGTCACGTACCTTCCATGAGGATTTCTATGACTTCGTTCACATTGAAGCTCAGTTCATCCACGTCTTGCCCTACGTACTGGTAGAGCGCCCGGCATCTTGGGCTGTGGATCCGTGGTTGGGGCTTGGGCCGGCCCACGCCCGGCACAGGTCTCTGACCCACGCTACGCTTCCTCTGAAGGCTGTGGACGCAGGTGGTGGTGCCCGTGTGACATCCTCTCTCCGCCCACGCCCCCTCCGCCTGCCCACCTCCTGGCGTTGCCCTCTTCCCCTTCCCCCTACCCAGCCACGCCCTGGTCAGGCACGTTGAGGAACTCCGTGTTATGCTGCGACGGTGGCCGGGCGTGGTGTCGTCTGCTGGTCCCCAGTGACGAGGACGGAGGGCCCTGGGGAGGCCTCTGGGAGCTTCGCCCAGACACGATCTCCAGAGGGGGCAGGGGGCCCCCTTTGGCAGATGGGGGCACCCCATTGCGGGCCATGCCTGTA